CAGGTCTCCAACCTGCAGGAGCTGGTGAGAAACCCGTTCCTCCTGACGCTGTCGTTGGAAGTGCTGCCGCGGGTGGTGAATACAGGACAGGCACTGGATCTCTCCAGAACTAGGATCACACGTGTAGCGCTATATGACCAGTTCGTGGAGCAATGGCTGGAGCGTAGCAAGAAACGAGTGGGAGGCAATGATCTGAGTCCACAAGCGAAGGCGGCGTTTGACACCCTGGTGGATGAGGGCTTTACACTGAACGGCATCGGCTTTCTGAAGAGACTGGCAGTAGCCATCTACAAGAAGCAGGCAGGCCATCCTGTGGTGGAGTACTCGCGCGCCAGAGACGAGGGGACATGGAAGGCGGCATTCTTCAGCCGAGATGATGAGGTCCAGCTCCTGCGCGAAGCCTGTCCTCTGAGCCGCAGCGGCAACCAGTACCGGTTCATCCATCGATCGCTGCTGGAGTACTGCTTTGCGCTCGCAGTATTTGATCCTCAGGAGAACAAGGCTTCGCGACCGTCTTTTGCTCCGGTACGCCGAGGAAGTGTCAACTCCATGTTCAGCTTCGACGATGAAGAGATCCCAGAGGAAGAGCCTGCTGGTGCTCGGCAATCTGTTGTCGGTTACCCACTGTCGTGGAGAAGCCTCATGAACGAGCCATCGGTGCTGCAATTTCTAGCGGAGCGGGTCCAACAAGAACCCATTTTCAAGCAGCAACTACTCGCGATGGTTGAGCGCTCGAAAACGGACAAAGAAGGACGCAAGGCGGCAGCTAACGCGATGACGATACTAGTCAGGGCCGGAATACGGTTCAATAACGCAGATCTGCAAGGTATCCGGATTCCTGGGGCGGATCTGAGTGGTGGAGAGTTTGATTCTGCACAGTTGCAAGGAGCAGATCTTAGAAAGGTCAACCTCCGCAATGTTTGGCTGCGGCAAGCCGATCTGAGCAAGGCGCAGATGGTGGGCGTGCAGTTCGGCGAAAGAGCGTACCTCGCAGAAGATAGCGGGGTGTATTCCTGTGCGTATTCACCTGATCGAAGGAACTGTGCCATGGGTCTTCGCAATGGCACGATCAGTGTATATGACACCACGACTTGGTCAAAAACCCTCACGTTAAACGGTCATATTCGGCGTGCTGCGAGCGTGGCGTATTCACCAAGTGGCCAGCAGATTGCCTCGGGCAGTTATAACTACACGGTGCAACTGTGGGATACGCAAACCGGTGCACCTGGTGCAGTGTTAAGAGGCCATACCAACGTGGTTTCAAGCGCGGCGTATTCACCAAGCGGCAGACAGATCGCCTCGGGCAGCTTTGACAAGACAGTGCGACTGTGGGATACGCAAACCGGTGCACCTGGTGCAGTGTTAACCGGCCATACCCGCCAGGTTACAAGCGTGGCGTATTCACCAAGCGGCCAGCAGATTGCCTCGGGCAGTGATGACATGACGGTGCGGCTGTGGGATACTCAAACCGGTGCACCTGGTGCAGTGTTAAGTGGCCATACCCATTGGGTTACTTGCGTGGCGTATTCATCAAACGGCCAGCAGATTGCCTCGGGCAGTTGGGACAAGACGGTGCGGCTGTGGGATACGCAAACTAGTGCACCTGGTCCAGTGTTGAGAGACCATACCAACGTGGTTTCAAGCGTGACGTATTCGCCAAGCGGCCAGCAGATTGCCTCAGGCAGTTGGGACAAGACGGTGCGGCTGTGGGATACGCAAACTGGTGCACCTGGTGCAGTATTAAGCGGTCATACCCGCGTGGTTACAAGCGTGGCGTATTCATCAAGCGGCCAGCAGATAGCTTCGGGAAGTTATGACAACACGGTACGGCTGTGGGATACACAAATCGGTGCACCTGGTACAGTGTTAAGCAACCATACCCGCATGGTTACTTGCGTGGCGTATTCGCCAAGCGGCCAGCAGATTGCCTCAGGCAGTGGCGACATGACAGTGCGGCTGTGGGATACGCACACCGGTGCATCTGGTGAAGTGTTAAGTGGCCATACCCGCGGGGTTACAAGCGTGGCGTATTCACCAAGCGGCCAGCACATCGTCTCGGGGAGTTGGGACAAGACGGTGCGGCTGTGGGGTACGCAAACCGGTGCACCTGGTGCAGTGTTAACCGGCCATAAAGATGTGGTTTCAAGCGTGGTGTATTCGTCGAGCGGCCAGCACATCGCCTCGGGCAGCTGGGACAAGACGGTGAGGCTGTGGGATATCCAAACTGGTGCACCTAGTGCAGTGTTAAGCGGCCATAAAGATGTGGTTTCAAGCGTGGCGTATTCGCCATGCGGTCAGCAGATTGCCTCAGGCAGTTGGGACATGACAGTGCGGCTGTGGGATACGCAAACCGGTGCACCTGGTGCTGTGTTAAATGGCCATACCCGCGGGATTACAAGCGTGGCGTATTCGCCAAGCGGCCAGCACATCGCCTCGGGCAGTTGGGACAAGACGGTGCGGCTGTGGGATACGCAAACTGGTGCACCTGGTGCAGTGTTAAGCGGTCATATCCGTGTGGTTACAAGCGTGGCGTATTCACCGAGCGGCCAGCAGATTGCCTCGGGTAGTGATGACAACACGGTGCGGCTGTGGGATGTGAGATCCGGTCAGTGTTTGGTGGCTGTTAAGGGGTTTCATGGGTCCATCTCCAGCATCACATGGAACACGGCTACCGACGGCACCTATTTCGCAACCGGCTGTGCCGACAAGTCCGTTCGTGTGTGGCAGCTAATTGAAGAAGAGGATGACTATCGCGTACGCCTGCATTGGAGTTCGAACCATGGTGAACTTGTCGTGTCGGATATGACTTTCCATGAAGCACAAGGCCTGAGCACGGTAAATGCGAAACTGTTGCAGCAGCGTGGCGCTGTGGCGACCCAGTTCCGCCTTTGACCTTCCGCGCGGCTAGCGAGAAGCTGATCACCATGACTGTTGTTGTATCTCAGCTTGGAATGCGGCCAAACCACGGCATGTCCCTGCGGCTTATCCCTCCGGCAGAGAGTCAGTAAAGCCGGTGGCATAGGCGAAGGTGATATAACTAGGAATTTGATAGTGGCGGCTTGGCTCCTACTCTTTGCAAATCTTCTGCTGATGCATAGATGAGCCTTCTGAAGATCATTGACAACCCTCAAAAATAAAAAAATGGCAGCTTATAGCAAAGAACTGAGCTCTTATTGGGCTAAAAGACCATAGAGCGAGGCAAGAAGGGATGAAGTCTAGGGTTATAGACAGCCATGGTTGTGTAAATGCTGGCTAGGATTGTGCGCAGCTTTATTCTCTACGCACATACGCTCTGTCCCGACCTCCCCCACCACTCTGGCCAAGACCGCCATCACTGCCACTATGACCAACACTAGATGCACGACCAATAGCGCGCTCACTTGCAGCATTTACCTCGGTGCACAGGCCTTCCACATTATCAAGCATCTCCTGGACATGTCGTTTGAAACGAGCATATTCGCGATCAGCACCAGCGACTGCTGCACCATCATCACCAGATGGATATGTGTAGCTGATGTATCTTACTGCTGGGAATCCGAACCGCACAATAGTGGATAGTATCAACTAGGATACAAGTAAAAGGAGTGTAAATGACAACCATGCAGCTGCTAGTTCGAGTCCCAGTTGGCTTCCCATTTGTCACAGAATGTCCTGATATTTTTAGTTGAATAAGATATTGACAGGGTATGCTGCAATAGGATGCTATGCGGTCGCCACTGCAAAGAGACAGTGATCAATAGCGAAGAGTGCGCGCTGTGATGCACGCACACACTTTGCTTGCCCATAACCACCTTCAAATAGCTGAACACACCATAAACGACTTCGTTCTCTTTACTCCTAGTCTTCTCTCTCTAAACTTCCTTAACTACATCCATATCGCGTGTACTGTAGATATGTAATGAGACTACAGTTCCAGACAATACGTGAGTACTCTCGAAAGCTAAAGCTGTTCCGGCTTTGACGATCCATGTGATTGCAACTGGAGCATGTCAGTGTGATCGCTTCGTGTTATTGTGGGCGTGTTCTTCGAACGGGGTATGTTCTTGTGGCATCAACTGACTGGGATATTGATCGTCGGAGGGGGCGACGCAGCCAGGTTGGTCGAAGGATCTTGTAAGGCCCTGGTGACATCCTGTGCGTTACCAGATCAAGTGAGGCTGCGGACGACGTGCCTGAGGCCTCGTTAGCCAGTCAGATAGACTGTGCGTCAGCAGCACGAACGTGGGATTTTGTTTTTGGAGGCGTGCTCTGCCGTAAAAGCCGTTACGACCGCTATTTTTATTTCCATTTCTGTCGCCAGTCCGTTCGTCATTCCTCTCTCCACAACACCGCGATTCCTCTCTCATTCGACAACCGGACACACCTTCATGAACCAGGGCAGCAATATCACAAGGCTGCTCTCAGGGAGATGTTCTCCGCTGTGCAGGAATATGCCCCAAAGGACAGTGCACCTTGCTAGGTCGAATGGACATGCATCCCTTCTCGCATCATGCACCTCCCACGCAAGAGCACTCACTATGGCAACTCGACTGCAGGGACTGGGATTCCTAAACCACTCGAAAGAACTGAGCATTACGACGTCAAGGATGGCATCCCTCCGGGACTACTCGAGCCAGCCTTTGCGAACGCGCTTAGTTTCAGAACAAGCTATTACCGCTTCAGAATCTATGCCCCCCATACCCCACTTTGTCCTGGTTCGAGCACCTACACCCTTCCAAGCGTATGTTAAGCCCGTTCTCTTCACAGCAGCCACATCATTCGCAGCATTCGCGACCGCAGCATATGTTTGGGAGCGACACCAGGTCACGCTAATCAAACGCATCCAAGCATGGAGATCCAGCTCGAAAAACGACAGACCATCGGCACGAGAGTTTGTTGAAGCGCAGGCAGAAATATTGCAGGAGCGTTGGAGAGTTGGCTTGGAGCGGTTCCGCTGGATTCAACAGATCGGCATCCCTGTAGAGATCCAGAAGATGCTATTCGTGGTGCGCTCACGGTGGATGGAACTGACGCCTGGAGAGAGAACTGTCTGGGCAATTATCGGACTGAATTCGATTGTGTTTGGTGCCTGGCAGGTGCCTCGACTGGCACCCTTCATGCACAAGTGGTTCATGCACCATCCAGCCCGCAGCCAGTCCATCACTCTGCTCACCTCGATGTTTAGTCACCAGCACTTTTGGCACTTTGGGCTCAATATGTTTGCACTCTATTCGTTCGCGGTGCCACTTCACGACCAAATGGGCAGGGAACAGTTCTTGGCCTTTTATCTTACAACAGGAGTCACAGCCTCTTTGGTTTCTCATTTATTCACGGTCGCTCGTGTTCCATGGGCAAAGATCATTCCTTCCCTCGGCGCTAGCGGTGCTCTGTTCGGATGTCTGAGTTCAACGGCGTACATGTATCCGGAAGCCACGGTTTATATCATCTTTTTGCCGTTCCTGCCGATTAAGATACCCATGGCCTTGGGAGCTATGATGGGCCTTGACCTGGTTGGCATCATCCGCAACTGGAGGATGTTTGATCATTACGTAAGTGTCCTTGTTGCGTCCACGAAGCAGTCTGGCATTTGATCGTGCATCTGAATAACCCTGCTTAATCTCCTCTGCATAATCTTTATCGACTCTAGGCCCATCTGGCCGGTGCATCATTCGGCCTCGCTTACATGTATGCAGGAAAGGATTTAATCTGGACACCACTTCAGCAAAAAGCCATCGAACTCAACAAAGACTCGAACTTGTTTGGCAAGATGCTACCAAAGGCTTCTTCCCAAGGAGAGATCAATCAACGTAGATCTATGGGCTCTGTTAAAGACGCCACCGGAACGGATAGAGTGAGTGGCGAGGGAGAGCGCACTGCGAAGGACTATGCGCAGGCTAGATATAACAAACTGAAGTCATGGTGGGATACAAAGCGAAGCGGAGGTAATAAAGATCCTTAGATACCTCTTCAGAGGCTTCAATTCAAACCGTAAGTAGACTGATGTTCATCCTAGACTGGAGTCGAGAACATGAGGTCTGTAATCCGCGGGAACATGCTGAAACTGTGATCGAAATAGAAGGCTATGGCCATGAACTCCGTTATGCCGCAATCATGCACTATTGTTAACCTGTATGAGCTTCCTGCGGCTCATACGATAAAGGAGGCAAGGGGCCAGCTGTTGTTGATTTCAAACGCGTGCAAAGGTGTCTAGGAGACAGGCTCCAGGAGGCGCCTGGAAATAGCGATGTCTGGAGAGTCGACTGGGTTTGCAAATGAATCGGGCACATTCGAAAACTCGTTGCTTGTCATTGGCATTCTCCATTCATTGTTGATCCCATTCGCTCCATTCTCTCATCCCACAAGGTCCTGCCGATCGCCATAAATAGTTTTCCTTTGCATACACAGCTATTTGACACAAAGAATACATGAGAGCAGCATGGCAGACAACGTTATCGAACTGGGCGGCCTTAGCAACGTGTCTCTCGATCCTGAGAACCCTTACAGCCGGAAGTCTAACCATGACATAGAATCCACTCAAAGGTCAGTTAGCATCTGGGGGTTGGACGCGTCTTTCAGAATGTCTGCGCGCAGCTGAGCACGGTCAATATTAACGCATCTTTTTGGTTTCACCTTTGTGTATCCCAACACGAAAGTGCAGCCCGCAGCTATCAAAGACCACACTGACACCCAACGCGCGTTCAAGGTCGACACTGTACCGCGTTCCATTCTCACAGAGTCCCTATAGCTCAACTGGACTATGGATCAGCACGCCTGTGCAGCATCGCAGGAGCATCATTTCCGAGGCAGAGGACCAGTCTAGGTATGAACTGCTTCGTATTCATTACCCATCCATACTCACTCACATGTTTAACAAAACTCATGTTTAAACGCCTTACAGGTTGACATCACCCACCGGGTCGTCCCAGATGACATTTGTGAACTGTTTCCAGCATCCTACCTCCGATCAACCTATCGCTGCTGCAAAGGAGGAGCTCTTTCTTCACATCACACCGTTGCCACACGAATCTCCTGCTGATGCATTGACACGCCACCATAACCTCAGTCCGCGCGACATTCACGCAATTGCTCAGAATGTACGATCACTAACAACGATCGAAGTCATATGTTCTGGCTTGAAGGCCGTTCCACTATCCGACTCCGACTCAATTGTGAATTGTATTGCATTTTGTGCACTGAATCATAGTTAATGTTGGACCAGAAGGAGCGGGAAAGTCTTCCTAAAAGATGCTGCCCCGTGGACCTACAGCACCATATCCAGACGGAATTGATGCGTCGCGTCCATCTTGGGATCAACATTGGCATACCTCAGTACCATGGTAAGAATGCATGGAGCCTTGTCCGAATAGTTTTGGCGTAATCCTGTCAATGGAGGCTGATCAGATAAAATTTATAAAGTATCACACCATAGAAGTTTTCACTTGAGCGATTCTCCATTTGTCTTTGAGATACGAGATTCAAAACCTTGTCATCCCAAAGACGGTGAGGAGAAGGGCCCAGGCGGGCCAGGAAAATACGCATTCAAGTAAAGAGATATATGCTGGCCAATGGATCGCTGATATAAAGATTAATGCACGTACGAATACTCTATTAACGCGTTGATATATCCGTGCTAGGAAACCTGTCGCTGATCTGAGTGAGCAGTTGGGAAGTGTGGGCGAAAAGAAATCGGCAACTTGGATGGAGCTATTCTTCGATTTGACGTTCGTGGCAAACATCACAATTTTCACGCATGAGCATCCAATCATTGACTCAACCACCTTGCTCAGATACTGCGGCTGGTTTACAATCCTATGGTGGATGTGGCTATCTCAGACAATGTGAGAAGAGATAGAAGGGTGGATACGTATGCACTATCGCTGGATGAGAAACTGCGAGTGACTGACCACTGTGCTTTGTACTTGTGCTTTTCCTAGGTTTGACGTACGATTTAGTACGGATGACCTACTAAATAGAATATGGAAGCTGATCCAACTGTTTGCGCTTGGTATGTCCCACTGTATTGCGTTTCCCCTGACCTCAGTCGAATCTATCGCCTTACTACAATCTAATATTATCTTCGTTGTGATAAAAACAAAGCTGGCTTTGCGGGTAATGGAGACCACTTTGCAAGCACGAATTCGAATGGTTTTGCACTGAGCTATGCCGGTGAGTTGCGTTATTTCTATCGCGTCGCATCTTTCTCGTCATTGTGCTCACACATTGGTTCTATGGTTGCCTTAGTGATGAAATTGGTGTTGGTGGGCCAGTACTTCATCGTCTGGATGCATGCACCAGATGCGCGATCAAGACGACCCATCCTTTTGTACATGTCAACCAACTTTATTTCCTTCGTTATGTGGTGGGTTTCTGCATTTCTGATCGAGATGCTCTCGGATCAAGCCCGATATGCCATTTGGTTCAGCGCTATCGGGATCGAGGTGTTGGCCAACGTCGCACTGGCGAACAACGCCACTGTCACCTTTGTCAGGAGCCATTTACCGGAACGACTTGGTCTGTTTACCCTCATCATTCTCGGCGAGAGTGTTATGGGGCTGTTCATTATCACAGATAAACTTGTCGATGCGCCAGAGAGACTTGGATGGGATAACCTGTACGTTGCCTTTCTCTCCCTTTCCCTTTTTTTTTATTACTTGGCCACAAAGTTCATTTTGCATACTCACTTGTACCATGCTCATGCTCAATACTAGGACACTGCTAATCTTCTCCATCACACTGGTGAAATGCCAATGGTTCCTCTACTTTGACGACTATCACGAGCGAGGACCCGTCCGATCCTCCATCCACTCTACTCTCTGGACCTATCTCCACTTCATGCTGAATCTCTCACAATTACTTTTGGGCGTCGGCTGCTTGGATCTCATTCGAGTCTATCAGTTTACAAAGAACCCGACCCAGTCTATTAAGAATATTGGGCAATCACATGAGGCTGCAGGCAATGGAGGCGCGTCTATGCTATCGTCTGCTCTTTCGAAACGTTCGATCACTAGTTTGGGCGACCATGATATGGTTTTAATATATGTCAAAAAGTATTATCTTATAGTCGCTGCAAGCGTCTTTTTCTGGAATGCCGCTATCAAGTGTGTCACGTCGCGACCAGGAGGTAAAGGCAAAAAAAAATATATACGCTAGAGTGCTTGATTGCCTTCGCGTGTACTATGGGGCTCACTATGAGGCTCACACGAACTTTAATGTCTTTAATCGCGACATAGACAAATATGACAGAGCGATCTATGTCTCTCGATTCTTCATGTCCTTTGTGGTACTCTGTCTGCTCCTGGTCGAGCACCATCGTTTGAGTGCCTTCTCGCTACTGGGACTCGAAGTGGGATTCTGTCTCTTGCAAGGTACTAAAATTTGTCCGTTTGAAACTGTTTGCGTTCCTGGTATTCTTTAAATCGACGGACTAATGTTTAAACGTCTTTTTATTCTAAAAAAAAAAACGGACAATAGTCGGCCACGACCTGCTGGTTCTATACTATGCCGCAAGGAAAGAATATGATAGTCAATACGGCCCCACAAAGTAGCTTCTTAGGCAAATAAATCATGCACCAGCATCTGGGATTCACAATCTGCACGAAGTTAAAAGAGTGTAAGGAAGATTCGCGTTTGCCCAAGAATGCAGCAGTATCCGAATAATGGAGCACTGGATTGTCAGTCCATTCTGTTCCTCCCTCTCCCTTCGAGTTGTCCTCATGTAGCATTCTTAAGGATAGTCGCATATAGTATGTGCCTGGTGTAGACTCCTTCCTCCCTCCCTCTTCTACATTCGATTCTTGCCCCCTTTTACAGCTCTCTTGCCTTCTGACAGCTAATTTTCATTCCATTGCTGCAACTAACCCCTTCGACTAAACAGAGATTCGGGAAAAGGGACATTTCAGTACGCGTCTCTTGTCCCTCCTGTGAATAACTCATAGTGGTCCCTCAGTCCTGATCAGAATGCTGGCGGGCCTTGACAAAGAATGAGCAAGGACCTTCCAAGGTCTGTTCGCGACTATAAAACAAGCCCACAATGAGGCCCCATCATTGATTTCCAACATCTCCAATCCAGTCTTCCTCCCATTATATACCCATCGCCTGGCTTCGAATAGTCGTTAAAGCTCCCTACATCTCTGAACATCAACACTTAACACTCACCAAAACAATGAAGATCAAATGCATTGTCGTGGCGTTGGCTGCTGCCCTCGCTCTATCTTCCAACTTTGCCGATGCCAAGCGCGATCGCCACGATGCTTCTCTTGTTAAATCGGACCAGAATCAGAACGTTGCTGACCCTACTACCGCTGGTGGTAAGGTCGAGATGGCGGGGCGATACGATGAATTCGGCTTCCTTCCTTTCGATCCCCTTTACGACCGCCTTCATCGTCTTCGCTATCGTCTTCGCCATCGTCTTGGCCGCTTGAGACACCGCTTAGATTGGTACTTTGGCGGGTACCCTCATCGCTTCCATGGCGGGTACCCTCATCACCGCCCTGGCTGGCGCGGTCCTCACCACCCTGGCTGGCGTCGTCCTCACTACCCTGGCAGGTGCCGTCCTCAATACCCTGACTGGCACCGTCCTCACTGCCACCGCGGACGCCATCACAAAAGATGCAGGACCAAGATTGTGGTTAAGTGCAAACCATTCAAAGGTGGCCCTTTCAAGCAGCCCATTGTTGGGGGATCAGCTACCAGCGGCACCGTCGAAGAACTCGCGCCCAAGAAGGCTACTTCCGATGAAAACGAGATCTCTACTGCTCCTGGCATCTCCTTTGACGACGAGGCCATGATTGGTGACTCCGAGACAACTGCGAGCGGCGAGGTCCAGCCAGCCGATGCTCCTACTTCGTCTGACGAGGAGATTTCGATCATTGGCTCTGAGACTACCATGGACGACAAGATCCAGCCAGTCGATGCCCCCGCTTCGACTGACGAGAAGGTTCAGCCAGCTGATGCGGACAATATTGCCACTGAGGCCACCACCGAGGCCGGAATCACTGCTGATTCTACCGCATAAGCGTAGATGAACTCTAATACCGGAATGGTTTCAAGAGGGGATTACAAAGGGCTTTAATGAGAGTAGATTATGGGATTCGAACTCTATACCAACAGCAAACTGTTATAAACACAGCGATGCTCAATACAGTCAGCCTTAACAATAATCGTACGCATTCGTTGTTGTTTTCTTCATGAATACTTGCTTACCTGCTATGCTAAAGTAGGTCGCGGTTCCTGCTGCCTGAACTGTGAAGTGCTTGAGCTGAGGTTTTGCCATATCCAAATCTGGACGAGGCAGACACGGACACAACCCTTAATAACTTTAAAGCAGAGCCTGCCAGGTGTTTGGAGCTGCTCATCAAAGTTCTTGTCATCTGTGGGAGGGCGCGCTTTTTCATCCCACCATCCACATCACCTTCTCATAGCAACACTCCCCATTCCGAAGGTGAGGTCCAGCAAACTCTTTCTTCCGAGCACTGAGAAACAGTTGACATAGTGTTCGATATGATGATAGCCCACTCACATATGCAAGACGCTTGTACTCCCATTAAAATAAAATAAAAGTAGGCCTTTGGAAGGATTCCGATACTCAACATGAACTCGCCTACACCTCAGACTATCAATACACCTGCCGGAAAAGTCCTTTGCGTTGCCGATCTCCGAGGTAACCATCAATAACGCCTGACTCGAATTGCTTTATTTTATAGTATCTATAATGTTCTCACACTAATATTCTTTAATATATGTATATTTTTTGGTACTTCATGAAATGAAAAATAAGGCAATATTTCTCAGTTGAATGATCTCGTGGACCAGACTGGGGCGAAGCTGATTATCCACTGTGGTGACTTTGGTTTCTATGGTAACCTCTCCCATCCATTGACATAAGACGCGCACGCGGCAAAACACAATTGATCTCATTGTATCCTGATGTGCTAAAAAGAGAAAAAAAATATTCGTATTGCATTCTCTTTTGCTTTGGAAAAACAGAACGGGACAGCTTGAACCGAATCAGCGACAGGTACCTTAAGACATACAGGACTTTTTTTTTTTTTGTTCTTTTTTCTTGTTTCTTTCTTCATTAGATTGCATTGGACACCACGAACTCATATCTCATCATTCTACCACTCTATCAATATATACTTTTTTTCTTAATACTATTAGGACTTTGAAGCACCTGGTCCAGTACAGCACACTGATCCCTCCAGCTCTGCGCACGCGTCTTCTGCAGTCGACGGTTACCCCGGACTTGCTGCGTTCACAGATCCGGGCCTCGACGAACCATATCCTCTCAGAGTTGCCGTCGTACCTCGCAGGACAGAAGACCTTGAAGGTTCCCGTGTACACGGTCTGGGGTGCATGCGAGGACGTGAGCGTGTTGGAGAAGTTCCGTGCGGGCGAATATTCAATTCAGAACCTGCATATCATTGACGAGAGCTCGACGGCGGTGATCGATATCGGAGGCGTCAAGCTGAGGCTGTTCGGGCTGGGAGGAGCGGTTGCACAGCACAAGTTATTTGATATTGGAGAAGGTACGAAATGGGAGAGAGGAAGGTCATTGTCGAGGCAGCTGGTTAGGGTTGTCGGACGGATCGGCATGAATAACAGGCGAGGAAGAGGAAGGCTAACTGTATTTTAATGTTGAATGGTGATGCCTGTTCTCTGTATATACATTAGGAACGACAACGATTGCTGGAGGATCGGGCACGATGTGGACGACGGCTCTTCAGATTGGACAATTAGTCGATACAGCTCAGAAGGTGTTTGATGCGGCAGAAACACGTATCCTTATCTCGCATGCCAGCCCTGGACGCGAAGGCCTTCTCGCCCAGTTGGCTCTTGTTCTCAAGGTAAATATATTACCCAGGAGACTTATAGATTTCTTCTTCGTTCATATCGGACCTATCTTTCAGTGGTTATGGAACATGAAAAAAAGCTGACTTATTTACCTTCTTAATATTTTCCCAGGCGGATTTCACCATTTCGGCCGGATTGCATTTCCGTTATGGCATCTCCTATAACGAGTTTGGTGTCCAGGGAGACCAGGAACTGTACAGGAACAAGCTTGTCAACTCGCAAAAGAACTTTATGGATATGTGGGATGGTATCAAGAGCCAGGTCGAGAGTAATCTCAGGTATGACCTATTGTCGTCAATGGTCATCGATTTTCATGGACCGTTGTTTTCGTGTCCCAACCATAACAACAAAAGAGATTACTGACATGATTTTTGCTTATTTTTGGACAAAAGTGCCGAGCAGAGGATTTTGCTGGAGAATTGCTTGAGTGTTGTCAACCGCTTACCGGCTGTGAACACTCTGCCGACCGACAAGGACGAGGCGGCCTTCAAGAACATGTGGAACTTCAATTTGCCCGATGCAGCTTCTGGGTTGTTGCTCTTGGATATCAATCAAGGAAAGATCGCTACCGAGACTAGATCTCAGGGTAAGTTCGCTTTTTTTTTTTTTTTGGGAGCGATAAACTACAGTTGAAAGTAGTATTTCTTGCAAATGTTCTTTTTTCTTTTGCTTAAAATATATTTTGATCCGCTTTGATCCCCCTTAGGCTTCAACTTTTCGTATCGCCGCAACAACGTCTCGCTCCGTTCTGGTTCACCAGCTATCGCCTAAAGGGTATCCTCAGCTAGGCCCTACTATAACTTATCTTATTCCCCCTGGCTTTGACCAGAGCCAGCACGCACTTCATAGACCATACATGTATCAAAAGAAGATACTCGTAGAAAAAATAAAAAAGAACTATGTCGAAAAGCAGTGCAGATTGTGTGTTATTGTGTTGATTTCTATGTATAAAAAAAGGGTGATAGCAAAATAAAAAAAAGTCTACTTTTCCGACTTGAGATCCTCCATGGTATCCTTCAACTTCTCATACGCCGGCACATCCTCCCATGAGTCTCTAGTCCTGGCCATCAAGCTCTTGATCATCTGCTTGGAGCGGTACGCCCAATCCTTAGCCACGGGTTGCTCCTGACCCTGCTTATCTTTGTATGTCAATGGACCCAAGTTCCTGTACCAGTCCACCATCTCGATCGCCGACTCCACAGCCTTCTCGAACTCGGTCTGGTCCGTCTCGATCTTGGGGTTGTGGATCACAGAGCGATAGGCCTTGAGCTGGCACTCCAGGCACTCGGGATAGTTCTTCTGCCAAAAGTAAAACTTGCCGCAGATCCTCCAGATCCGGGGATCGTTCGTGATACGGTTGGTGATCCCGAGCAAGAGGTCCTCGATCCTTGATTCCTGGAAAGCGACCTTTCTCGAGTACAGATCTTTCAGGTCGCGGGTGAGACCCTGAACGATCCTGTCCAGGATGACGATATCGACGATCTCATCGTTCACGGTCTCTTCCTTCTTCTGCTTCCACCGCAACTCAACAACCATACCCATCGCACGGATCGCCTCTGTGAAGTCGCCGACGTCCAATGAGCAGTACATGTAGTTGGACCAGATCTTCCACGACTCTCGCTTCTCCTTGAGTGCCTGTCGCAGCGCATGCTGAGCATCCAAATTGTTGTTGCGGCGCATGTGGATCGCAGCCAAGTTGTTCCAGGCCTCTCCGTTACTCTGATCAATCGAGACCACCTTCGTGAATGCCTCGATGGCGACATCAAAGTCCTCCAGCTGCATGCCAATACATCCAAGAATGAACCAAGAGTTCTCGAACAACGGATTGATTTTGAGTGCCTTCTGATAACAAGGCTTGGCGAGCTCGTATTCTGAGCGCTTGAAGTAGTAGGCACCCAGCGAGCGCTGGGCACGGGCGAGACGATGCCCAGAGACCTCCCAGGCCTCCTTGTACTTCTCGGGATCCTCGTCCAAGTCGCCAATGGTGCAGTGCAATTTCGCGTTCGAGGGATTCTTGGCGAGCAATTCTCTGCACAGGGCCTTGGCCTTCTCAGCCTGGTCCAAGAATTGGTGGCAAGCAATCACGTCCTCCCACAGCTCCATGCGCTCAAAAATATCCATGGCCGAACGAACGACACCCAAGGCCATGTATTGCTCTGCCAGTTCCTTCTCGAGTTCCCATTTTGATGGGAGGAGCACCGAGAAAAAGTGATGCATTCTCTCACGCGTCGTTGACGTCTCGTCCTCGATCTTGGTCTGATCCACGAGCGCCTGTAGCTGCAAGGCGCCACGCTCCACCGTCCTGGACTTGTCGGACTCGAGACGCGATCGGAGCAAGAGCGCCATGGTGTACACTGTCCAGTTGTTGGGGGTCTCCAGGACGCGTGTGACAAAAGGAAACATCTGCTCGACCGTGAGACCGTGTGCGGGGTTGGTGTTCTTGATGTTGAGACAGAATGCCAGCAGGAGAGCATGGTCGATAGGATGGAGATCCTCAATCTTCTTGGACGGATCCAGTTCGAGATCCCCAAGGCGTGCGCGGTCTTCCTCGCTAAGTTCCGTGAATTGGACCTTTTCCAGAATCGTGTCATCGTTATGTTCCAAGTTCTTGGGACCGGCACCGGATCCGGCCTTGGAGCTGTAAGCCGAAGGTCTGGAACTGGCCATGTCCCTGCTACTTTCTGCGACGACGACGAGCTGTGATGTGTCGAACTGCTGGAACTTTGTGCGCTTGCCCAGCGCTCCTGTGACCTTGAAGCGGAATCCCGAGGTCGACTGCGCCTTCTGAAGGGTCTCATAGGCCTTTGTGTCCTCGGTGTACCAGTGCAGAACTAGACCCTTCTCGATCCAGAATCGTGTCAAAGCCTCCTTCTTGTCAATGGCCTCCAATGCTCCATTATCAATCTTGACCTGTGAGAAGAAAAAAAAAAATAAAATAGGCCCATTAGTCTCAAATGACATTAAATCTAGAATAGGACGCGTTTAGACTGCGGCATGATGAAAATACCTCCGCTGTCAAGGTCGACTCAATTTCGTCCGCCAACGCCAGCATCTCTGTCTGGAGCAATCCAGTAGGACCCTCTAATGTCCTCTGCTGCAGGAACAACGTGCGGAGCGCCCACCATGGAGCCGTCTTCGCGACCACGGCATCCTTCTTCAAGGTCTCGAGATTATCAACCAAAAGGATCCTGGAAAAGTGCAGGAACAAGATCTGGGGTGACAGATGGTAGGTGGTCTCTCCTCCGACCGCAAGACTGTCGAGCGCCTGCTTATCCAGATCCTTGGACTTGGGTCGGACATGTGCGGGCAAAACGTCGACGGGTTCAAATCCGAGTTCGGGGCCGGTCCAGCCAGCCTGAACAAAGGCATAGAGCGAGGCAATTGCGATGAAGAGGACATCCAAAGATGCAGAGGATGTGGTCGAAGTCGAAGATGGGGTGGTGTTCTCAAGATAGGACTGCATGCGCTTAGTGAGGAACGCGCTCAGATCCAGAGAGGATTCTAGGGCAATGACCTCAGCGTCAGTCTCGGTGAGGTTTGTGCCAAAGATTTCGGCGGCTGTTGGGGTCTTGAGAGCGAGACCATATTCTCCTGCGAGGAGTAGTTGTGTCAGGGAGCTGGTATCAGCACTAAGATCCGGTGTGCTGGCCTCGGTGCTCTCGGGCTTGTGTTGAAGGTCGTTGCCGAGAAGGACACTCCATTGCTGTTGGTCGATCGCGGTAGCCATGGTTGAGAAAGGACGTGAGAGTAGGGAGGGAGAAAGGACGTGAGAGTAGGGAGAGAGAAAAGGTGAGAAGGTGAAAGAAAAGAAGGTGGTGGTATCGTCGCACGGCACTAGCGGAGCTAAGTTGGAGACGGAGACTACTTTCAGGTTCTTAGTGATTGCAAATCAACCAAGGAATCACAACTGCTGGTTTATATTCCTTCTCCACGCTTCTTTGGAGCCGTAGTCCTAGAAACGCATAGGAAGTCTGTGCGTGCAGACCTTTTAGCAGTCATTGTTGACCTTTTTTTTTTTTTTTTTTTTTTGGTGCCTAGCCCAACAAGCATCACACTCAGTTCTTCAGCGCAGCATCACCCCCAACCACCTCCCTCAGCACTATCAACATTCCCAACACTCTCAACACTCTAATCTCCATCAACAACAGCGGACAAAACTTACAACCAACCATGGCTGTCAAAAAGATCACAAAGAATGACGCAAAGGTCGTCAAGGCCACAAAGAAGGCCGTTGCACCACCACCACCTGAGCCTGTGGTCGAGGAACAGTCCGAGAGCGAGAACAGCAGCGAGGATGAGGTAGAGGAGCAGGAGGAACAGGACAGCGAAGAGAACCAGGAAAAGGAGAACAGTGCTGAGGCGACAGAGACCAAAGAGAACATGACCTTCAAGGACCTGGTATGTATCGATACAGGATGTTCTATCAATTGTCACAGTGACTTTGCATTGGCCTGTACCTAACATACGTATTGCCTGGTTTTTCTCTTTTCTCAATAATCTCAGGGCCTGATGCAACCTTTGGTCGATGCATGCGAGCAGCTCAAGTTTAAGACACCTACAGATATTCAGAAGGAGTCTATTCCTTGGTCCCTGCAGGGCCGCGACATCATTGGACTCGCTCAGACAGGTTCAGGAAAGACCGCCGCATTTGCGCTGCCCATCCTTCAGGCATTGTGGAACAACCCTTCGCCCATGTTTGCATGTGTTATGGCACCCACGAGGTAATTTCACGCATTTTTATTTCATCTCCTACTATCCCTCGATCCACATCGCATTGAAACTAACTGGATCTTTTTTTTCTTTTTCTTTATTTTTTCTGGTGTTGTGTTCTTATGTGTAGAGAGTTGGCGGTTCAGATTTCAGAGACGTTTGAATCGTTGGGATCGACAATCGGCGTGCGATGCTGTGTTATTGTCGGAGGCATGGACATGATGGCACAATCGATCGCGCTCTCAAAGAAGCCCCATGTCATCGTCTGCACACCCGGTCGTCTTCAGGACCATCTCGAAAACACAAAGGGATTCAGCTTGAGGACATTAAAGTACCTCGTTCTCGATGAGGCCGATCGTCTTTTGGACATGGATTTCGGACCGATTATCGACCAGATCTTGAAGGTCATCCCCAAGGAACGCAACACATTCTTGTTCTCGGCCACCATGACGACGAAGGTCGCGAAGCTGCAGAGGGCTAGTTTGAACAACCCGGTGAAGGTTGAGGTGGCCACGAAATATTCGACGGTCGCGACCTTGCTTCAGTACTACCTGTTCTTCCCGTTGAAGAATAAGGATTCGTACCTGGTTTATCTGTTGAACGAATTGGCAGGAAACTCGACGATTGTGTTTTCAAGGACTTGCAACGACACACAGAGGATCACGCTTCTGCTCCGGAACCTGGGTTTCCCTGCCATTCCATTGCATGGACAGCTCAGTCAGGAGAAGCGCTTAGGAGCTCTTAACAAGTTCAAATCCGGCAACAGGAATATCTTGATCGCCACCGATGTCGCAAGCAGGTACTGCCTCAAATGAAGATGTTGAATCGCTGGATGTATACTCTGTTGTGTGTGAACTGAACAATCTGTTGATCTGTTGCTAACAAGTCTCATTCTCTGCTTTTTTTTTTTTTTTTTTTTTTTTTGGGCGCTTATCGAAATGATGTGATGCAGAGGTCTGGATATTCCTTCGGTTGATATTGTTTTGAATTACGACCTGCCCAACAACTCGAAGGACTACATCCATCGTGTCGGTCGTACGGCCCGTGCAGGTCGATCTGGCAAATCCATCACGTTCGTCACCCAATATGATGTCGAGGTCTATCAGCGAATCGAACAGGCCTTGAGCAAGAAGCTGGAGGAGTTCTCGGTGGATAAGGATGCGGTCATGTTGCTTCAGGAGCGTGTTGCGGAAGCACAGCGGTTTGCAATCATGGAGTTGAAGGAGCAGCACGCCAGCCGTGGCAAGGGCGGCCGTGGAGGAAACAAGAGGCTGTTTAACGCGGATGATAATGATAGGGATGATGATTCGGTCCAGGCGGGTGGATATAAGAGCAAGAGCGCCGCTGCACGGGGAAACAAGGGGGGCAAGAAGATGAGGAAGTAAAAAAAAAAATAAAAAAAAAAATAAGCCAGCCCGAGAGAGAGAGAGAGCGCGAGAGGGTGGTTCGCATATAGATATCTTTATACACATCATATCCAGCATTGCATTCTTGAAAATAAAAAACTAAAAAAAAAAATGAACATCATTTTATGCTTCTATGGCATGGACATTTGCTGCAAGTGTATGCATTGTTGACCGGAGGATGTTACACGACATTTTCAGTGCACAGCATAACCCAACCGGAGGAAAGGGGAAGGAATACGTCCGTTCGTATCAAGATATACTTTTCCTGTTGATTATTATTTGTCATATCTGTGGAGACAGACCCATTCATTTGCGGGTCTGTCGGGTTCTTTTTGTGGGGAGTGGGGATAACGTGCTTGCAGAAAGATAGAAACCTCACCCAACCACCCATACACTGAGGAGTCCAAAGGCTGGCTTCGACATTGTTGGGTGTCGATCGGGTCTATTGATCTCTCCTTCTCCTCCCCCAGCCAACTACGCGGGAGAAGGAGGACCCACTGCAGCGGTGTAACAAGGGATTGGAATTCATCTCCGAAAGTGATCGCCGCGTTTGTCCTTGTCCTTTGCTATACCTCCTCTGCAGAGCTCCCCTACCCGCCTCCCCCTCTTCCCCCCCCCCAAAAAAAAGATGTACGTGGCTGCGAGCACCCATTGAACAATGGAACAATGGAACAATGCGACAGTTGAGCAATGTCGCTCGAATGCCTTCTAGAAAGAAAAAAAAAACGGGGGAGGCCCCACCAGTAAACAGCTGGCCTGGTGCAATAAAAGATATTTTTGGGCTGGGTGTCCCTGCCTGGTTCGAGTCAGATCCACGCCAATGATGGGAGGAGAGAGCAGGCATGACTACCCGCCCAAGAATAGAGTTGAGGTGTCCGTGGATTAAGAGGATGAGCTGCGTGCACTATCGAATCATCCCGTGGTGGACCAGTAGCATTTCGCGATTTGTTGTTCTACGAGACAAAAAGAGCACCCAACAAAGTCAGGCAAAGCAAACCCGACCCTTACTCATTTTTTTACTTTACACCTCTACTCTTTGGACAAGAGCACGTACACAAGTACACCCCACCGCCCGCCCATTCGACTAGGACTATTGCAGCATCTTTTTCCATGATGGGCTGTTTATTGCGGGTGCAGGAAACAGATGAAAAAAAAAAAAAAAAAAAACCTAAAGGGGGGGATGCATGCGTGTTCATGTACATGTACGTTCCAATGTCCAGACGAGCCAATGAACCATTGAGTCCCTGCCCACACGCCCTGCTTCGGTTGTGGAACAGCAAGGACCTTGGGTGTGCATTTTGCCCAAACGGTCTCCTTGACAGCCAGCCAAAGTGCGCGTAACATCGTGCTCATCTGACAAAGACAAGCTTACAGATTGCTCTATACACATACTATAACGACTAGGTTCGTTTGGTCAATGGGCAAACGAGTATAAAACATCGACCATCTCTCTTTTCCTTTTTCTTTTTTTATTTCTCTCTCGCTCTCTCGTTCTCTCTCTTCTACGGCAAACCAAACAAGCAAGCAAGCAAGCAAAGACAATATCCTCAATTGATCACATCTCTTCTCCTCCTAATCTCACTCACACCACATACTACTTCGCTTCACACACATACACACACACACACACACACGTACAACATACAAGCAACAATGTCTGTCGCCATCCGTTCGCTCTCCAAGGGTCTCCCTCGCGTCTCCATGGCCCGCATTCCCGTCGTCGCCTTTGTCAACAACACCCACCCCTCGGCTTACTCCTCCAGTTCCTGGTCCGAATCCGCCAACAAGGCTGCCGATAAGTTGGAGCAATCCGCAAGAAACCTGTCCAACGAGGTAACCACATCACCTGAATGCCTTTTTTTTTTTTTGTTGATACATAATATACTGGCTTTGCTGTCCTTGGTAGTGGTAGTTGGGATGGGGAGGGGAGGAGGACATTTCGATAAGGGGTGTTTCTCATTGTTGGAAGCCCAAAGGACTACAACCACATGTTCGTGGTGTGGACCCTTTAAACTTTTTTTTTTTGGGTTATACAGTTGGAACACTTTGGGCAGACTTTATATCGCGAACCCACACACACGCACACACATATTTTTTTTTGCTAGCGGGTTATTACTCATGATGCCAAGCATCCATCCAAAATTGAAAGCATACAACGCTTTAGTGCATCTCGTCTTGAGTCGTTGTCTTTTGCTTGGGTAAAAAAAAAAAAAAAAAAAAAAAAGAAACGGGCGCCGGAGAGGACATCTTATTCGTGCACTGTTCATGTATCCCTACCCACTCTGTTTCTTTTTTTTTTTTTTTCTTCGTCTTCTTCTGGAGTCCGTGATGATGATGAGAAAAGTGACCCGGGCCCTTTTTTTGCCGTCCTTGTTACACCATCGACCTTTTTTTTTTTTTCTGTCCGTCATGCCTGCAATGAAAGAAAGAAAGGAAAAAACGACCTGTGCTTAGACAATTTTGGCAAAACGAACTGAAGAATCTAACTCTGTCTTTTTAATTTCTTTCAAAACTATGCTATACTACATATATAGGTCGAAGGTCGAACCTCCGGCTTGAGTCAGCACGCTTCCGAGGCGATCAAATTGGTGGAGTCACACAGCGTTCTGAAGCAGGACAAGGCACCGATTCACGCGTATCGCGATGTGGATCATTCGGAGACTCGGTTCTTGAAGCATTAAAACAAATCATATCTCTGTAGTTTTGCTTGTTTTTTAGTCGTTTGCGCTCCCTTTCTCGTTCTATATACGACGCTTGTACATATATTCCTCCCACCTTTCCTTGCCACCTCACCCGCACAGACATACGATAGCTTTCTGTCTCTTTTTTTTTTTCTTTTTGATATTTCTATACCTCTGTCGAGAATAACTCCAATAACCTTTTGATATAAAAAACGATCAAGAAATCTCGAAATGTGGTTTTTTTTGTATGGATATAACAGATGCTCGACTTGATCGACGCTTGATCTGCAAGCAACCCGCCCCTGCCTGCCTACTTACTTGTCTTGCCTAGTCTTTTCTTCCCCCCCCCTGCGCGTGTGTATGTGCATTGGCATGCAGGACGAGTGCGCGTCCATGGATTGGATAGGGGGAGAGAGGGGGAGGAGGAGGTGAGGAGGAGGTGAGGAGGTCTATAGAAAATCAGATATCGCCTTGCCTTGCTCTTGTCTTTCTTTTTTGGCCCGTATTCGTCTATATAAAAAAAAACGAAACTAATGCACGTATATGCGCACGACAAACATCAGAAAGGAATGAAGGACCCTTTCTGTCCATCCCCTTTTTTTCTTGCTGCGCGTATGTGTGTGTGTGCATGTGTGTGATGGTTAGTTAACAAAACTGCCTTTGGACTTGAACTTGGTTAGCTATTTGGTTGGTTGGTTGAAGGGGGGGTTAATTAGGCAGGGGTTTTCTAGGCAACCAAAAAAAAAAAACTCTAAAGGGATAAAAGGGTAAAAGGGTTAAAAGGGATCGGTACATCTTAGGATCTTACAAAGAGCGGAAAAGCAGAAAGCGAACGACAGTTTCCTTCATTGTCCTTTCTCGCAAACACATCCATGTCTTTGAAGAATCACTTCAGGTTCTTGGATGGACGTCCCAAAAAAAAACCAGAAAAGGAGGAGCCAAGAACATCGACACCCATTGCCATTGACCATGCCGTACAATCTTGTCAAAAGGATACAAAAAAAAAAGACTCTCTTTCCTCCCCCTCCCTCTCCCCCCTGCCTCACAAATCTGCGTTGTCCAAGTGACCCCCCTCAGCTGTAAGGCGCCTGCCTGCAGATATATTTCCCGATGTACCCCTGTACATGTGTTTTTTCTTTTGTGTATATGCAGTGGTCCCCCACGAGGTCAAAAAACCTTGGTCGCGTTTCGTTGTCCTATCATATTAGCCGGTACACACACACACCCTCACGGTCGCGCGTTAGTCTGCTGTACAGCACTCAAAGATCTCCACCAAAACGAGGTATGTATGTGGGAATATGTATACGGTACAAGCATGTGTACAAGTAAAAAAACACAGCGAAAAAAACACACTATAACTAACATAACTAACGATAATTGTTTTTTTTTTTCTTCTTTGTCCATCGCGTTTTATTTTCTCCGTCCCTTTTCTCTCGTCCCAAGCAAAGCAACGCGTAGCGCGCGGTTCTGTAAAAAAAAAAAAAAACTCTAATTTACACTTGAGCATAATTAGACATTACTCTTTGCGGCCTAGTTTTCTATCCCCCCCATTTTTATCCTTTTTTTTTTTTATATAGAGAGAGAAAGAGGTAAAAACCACATTCGCGTCCTCCGACTGTACATGTTTTTTTTGCTCGTCAATGTGGATTTGGTTTATGCTGCATGTGCATGTAGTAGTGGTATGGCTAGACTAACTACTATAACTACCATTTACTATTGGTTACTATGACCACGACCACGGCGGCAGTCTACATCCAGACTCCTCCCACACACACACATCCTTTTCTATCGCCTCGCTCCAGAAACCGTCAAGCGCCGTGGCCGGCCTTCGATACCATCGCTATAGTGCCGATAGTATTCCTGATAATCCAAAAACGGCGCCCCCATTTCCTTCGCATCCTCCTCATCCTCATCTTCCGCCTCATCTGCCCCTCGTCCCAGTCCCTTCCCTTCCCCCCATTCTTGACTATGACCATCAACGGGTCCACCTTCCAGGGAATCGCTCTTATTGGTTTTCTTCTTCTTCTTCCTTCTGTCTTTGCCCGTCGTGGAGGCGGCGGCGGCGGCGGCGGCACTGACGCTGATCTTGGCCTTGTTGGCCTCGGACAGGACAGTGTTCACAGCCTTATTGGCCTCGGTCATGACGGTCCTGGCGGCAGTCGTGATCCGACGCTTGACCTGGCTGAGGGTGGTTTTTGTCTTGGGGTTCAGACGCATGCGCGCGCGAAGGGAGGAGGTTACAGAATAGACGGAGCTCTCGGAGCGGGAAGGGTCTGTGTCGTCGTACTCTTCAAGGTATCCAGCGACTTCTTCTTCCTCTTCTTCTTCTTTGCCTGCTTCTTCGCCCGCTTCTTTTTCTTCTTTGTTGATTTTGTGGTTGCTGATGAGGATATGATTGGGCTCATGTTCGCGTTCGCGTTCGTGGTCGCGTTCGTGATCGTGATGTTGAAGTGGGCGGTGAGGGTGTTGGGGATGCTTGAGCAGTTTGTAGAATTTGGCTTTTGCGAGATTAGCTTGACGGCTGATGAGACCCCGCGGCCGATGGAACGGGTTCCTCCCAGGAGATGAATGGTGCAGCGCCTCGTTGTCGTCATTGTCGTTGTCGCTGTTGTCGTTGTGGTCATCGTCGCTGTTGCCGTTATTATTATTATAATTACAGTTGTCATGGTTGTTTGAATGGCCTTCAGAATCGTCGCCAAGGTCTGCTTGCCAGCTCAATGAATTGTAATAATACCGAACTCCATGATCCTTATCGTCCCTCCGAAGGCGGTCCTTCTGTGCTGGAACCGCTTTATCCCCGTACACGCGATCGTATCGACCGGTCGCCTCGGTTTCGTCTCTATAACGTTCACGATCATGATCTTCACTACCCTGGTCCTGATACCGGCACTGGTACTCATTCCCGTGGTCGTCTTCCTTTCCATAAGGTCGCATTTGAACTTCACGTATGTCGTGATACGGTGGTTCGTGGTACGAGGTTTGACGACGATGATAGCCACGACGGCTTGGGCTGCGCGTCACCATCGTCGTCGTAAAGGAATCGCTCTCGCTGGTTGCATAGGCGCCCGGATCATAATCCGGGCGCTCGTGTGGAAAGGCCCTGTATTGCGAAGGCGATGTGGGGCTGGAGCTAGAACCAGTGGACGCCCATGGACACGGCACCCAGAGCTCAGGGCCGCTGTCCTTCGTGAAATCGTGTGCGTATGAGTGAACTTCGCGCCGGGCCAGCGATCGTGGACACCAGGAGAAAGGGCGATTGGATGAAGAGGTAAAAGTTTCGTTCCAGGACTCCTTCTCGTTCCAGGGCTCTCTCTCGTTCCGGGACTCTTTCTTGTCCCGTTCATTGGTTTTGTCTTGTGCCCCAAAGTCGTCATGGACGGTACTGTTTGGTTCGTAGGGCGGGGACTTGGTTTCGAAGTGGGACCATTTGATAGGTTCGAGTAGTGAGCGAGGACGTGGTTGTTGGGTTTGGATGGTATTTCCGCCGACGGCGGCTGAGTTCCTGCGGGGACAGGGGGTGAGAAAGGGTGGTGGGGAAGAGGTGCGCGGACGAGAGAAGGCGGAGGTGTGGCGATGGTGTTTGCGGATGTCTTGTTGGGGTTGGAGTTGGGGATGGTCTAGCGTTGTGTCGGTCGTAGATCTGCTCATGGATGTTCTTGATGCTGAGAAAATCCTCTATTGACATATAGATATAGCGATGAAGACAAAGATATTGAGGACCATGGACTTGGCGCTCACTGTTCATCGACATGTGTGCGTGTCTGTTTTTGACATACCTCGTTCATCTGCTCCTTCTCCTTTTTACACTGCTCCTCTTGTTCCCGTTCCTCGCTTTCCTGCTGCTTTTTCTGGAAGGCCAACAGTCGTGGATAGTCCTCGATCGACCAGTCCGAAAAGACACTGTGTCGCCGACAGGATTGCTGTGATGGCTGAGGGGCTCCTCCTGTGCAAGAAGCAGCCCACGATTGCCGATAACCCTGTCTGTCTGCAGCCCAGCCCTGTCTTGAGCCCTCATCGTCGTCGTCGTCGTCGTCACACAGATCGACGGTGTTACCGACTTTTGGGTCCGACTTAAATGCATGAAAAAATGGGTTGAACGAATGCTGCTCCTGTCTTTCAACCAGCATTGGCTGGCCACGATCAAAGGATGGTTCCTTAATGTCTTCTTGTTCATCCTCTTCATACTCTTCTTCTTCATCATCGTCTACTTCCTCTGGTCGATATCTCGCGCTCCTCAATATGGCCCTCTCCCCCAATGGATCCTCAACAGGGTCCAATATCGACTGTTGTTGCTCTGGGTGAAGGTCCGTGTCTCTGCTACTCTTGAGAATCTCCTCGTGTTGTGGGCTGTGATGAGGACCAGACTTGGTCAGCTGTTTCAGGGCTGAAGATGCAGAGGTCGCGCGATGGCGCCGGTGCCATCCGAACGGGACTTTGAGCAGATCGAGTGATAGTCTGCGTGTGCGCTCCTGTTTGCTCTGGAATTTGTATCGGTCGATATTGTCCGTGTGATTTGCCCTCTCTACTGTCGTGAAGTTGTCCCATTGATGAGAACGGCCAGCTTCAGAGTCAGTGGTGTTGGCGGTGGTGGGCTTAAAGAGGAAGGGATTGGTCGTAAAGTTATCGCGGGAGGGGATGGTCGCGTGTGGCGAGGAAGTGTTACAGCGGTCATCAAAGGGTCTTGTATTTCCTACATTGGTTGGCAAGTCGTCGAAGGGTGAGTTCAAGGACGGATTTGTGGGCTTTGTCGCTGCAGTGGTGGTGATGCTCTTGGATCGGAACCCTGTCGCGTGAGATGGGTGGATAGCGCTTCTTCGTTTCAACATGGTGGGCAGGCAGGTATGGGAGTAGCAGTCGTTACAGAGGCGGGGAGGGGAGAGGGGTATCAAAGAACTAATTGGTTTTGCAGGGTATATTCACCGCACATGAGGCGATACTCACAGGACGATATTAAAAAAGGAGGCAAGAGGAGAGAGAAGACGAAGACATAGATGGATAGATAGATAGATGGATAGATAGGTAGATAGATAGGTATTTGCTGCATGCATGCATTCCAAAGATCTCTAGAAAAAAGATCGTGTCTGCTCACTCGCATATTCCGTTGCAGCAGCATCGGCAGACGACCGTGCACTGGCGTGGATGACGTTCTTGCATGCTGGCTCTTTCCAGCGAGCAGAGAGCCAGGGAGGATTGGAATGGACCATGGTTATGGGAAGGAGAGGGAGGAATGTGATGGGAGTGTGGGCGGAGGAGATGGCGGCCAGTTGTTCCTGGTTTTCAGAGCATTCCCTTAGTGCCACATGGGACACATGGGATCCGGCAGTGCGTATTCTGAGAGACTAGACTGCATAGGAGGGGAGGATGTGCCTCGTGGGTCGAGGCTGCTGAGGATGACTTCACACGGCATAGTCTGCATGCATGTGCATCGGGAGGGGGCCGTATCTCCGGGGGGTATATGCCACACTCACACACACTGCCTGAACAACACGACAATGAAGCCAAGGCGACTAGACTAGTTTGTGCCGTGGTATTTGTGGGTGGCACACCGCCAATCAGGCGCCTCCTCCCGGCGACTGGGGAGGGGGGAGGACTGAGTTTAGTTCAGGCGAGTGATGGAGGATTCCCATCACCCCTCTCTCTCTCTCTCTCTTTCTCTCTCATTCTCTCTCATTCTCTCTCATCCCCCCTTTACTTCGCTCCCATCCATCCGCTTTTGTTCATTCCTTTTGTTTCGAGTCTGCCCCCTTCTTTCATCTCATCCCCCTCCTCTCATCCTCCCCTTCAGCGGCACTCGTGCTGATCTGCAGAACGCAAACAGTCCCCCCCTCCCTCTCTCTCTCTTCTCCTTCCCTCCCTCTATCCTACACTCCTCCGCCGCAGACCCTCCCTCTGGACCACACCATGCCCGCCGCCATTCCCACGCCGAGTATCAACATCTCCGCGTCCTCCTCCCCCTCCCCCTCCCCCTCCGCAAACAACAACACCATCCGCAACAGCACTGCCTCGGGAACCCCCACCGCCACCTCCAGTCTCTCCCTCGGCCCCCCCTCCGCCTTCAACAACTCCTTCTCCGCCTCCTCCCCCTTCTCCGCCGAGGCCCTGGCCGCCGCTACCGCCCTCCGGAGACCCTCCCTCGTCCTCTCTGTCGGATCCTTCCATTCCGCCCAGCTGCGCCGGCCCTCCTTCTTCGCCCCGTTCCCCTATGGCCAATCGCCTCAGCAATTCGAGTAAGTGGACTATCCTCAATCGAGCACGAATCAGATTTATTTTATAAGCATAAAGCACCCGCATCTCGTCTCGTAAGCAACACGCCAACCCGCTTTGTCTAAACAGACCATCGGCTAATTCCCATCCTTCTTACGCAGCAGTGCTCTCCAGGACTACAGCTCCTCGCCCAGGCGGGGCAGCGGCGATGTCTATCAGCGCGATCTCGAGGCCAACTACTGCACCAACTTCTCCTGCTGTGGTCTGACCCTCGGTGATCTGCATGCACTCCTGCAGCACTATGAGGAATCGCACGTGCGTTTCGAAGAAGAGGACGACAATGGCCACCCCGTCCCTGCTGGCTTTGTGGACGAGGAAGGCTGGTCCACAGATTCGATCCCACAACAACAGCAGCAACATCAACAGCGTCCTTCTTCCTCCTCTTCTTCTTCTTCTTCCAACCATCTGCATCTTAAGGGATCTGCAGCTGCTACGGCCGCTGCTGCTGCAACAGTCGCAGCCCTCGCAGCGAGCCATAACCAACAGCACCATCACCATCAGCAACAACAACTGCAGCAGCAGCAGGACCAAAAGTTAACCCCGCTCTCATTCTTCAATACCAAAAAGAAGGCGACGGCCAACAATAACAACAACGGAGTCTCATTATCGGATATCTATTCGGAAGATTCGGCGTTTCTCTCGACGGCGGACGATGTGATCTCGGCGTTCCCAAATTCTATCCTCAGAACCGCAGCCCAGGCAGAATTCACGAGTCTGGCAAGCAAGAAGCGAGACCTGTCCGCGTACTCGACCTCGTTTGATACCCACAGTCCCATGGCCAAGAAGGCCTCGAATTTCCAGAACATGACCCTTTCCTCTGCAACGGCGACATTCAATAACCAGCACGGTGCCCCTGGCTCGTCCTCCAAGAACAATACATCATCATCATCATCAACAACAGCAATGGCATCAGCATGGGCCCCGGCAAAGAACCAGGAGGATCTCTTGGGATCTGTTACAGAGTATCTTCAGATGGCGATGAAACAAGGACTGCTACCGAACATTGGTGAGGTCGGGTCGCCACAGTATATCCAGGCGGCCGAGGATCTGATCAGGAAGCGGGAGGAGCTTGTGAGTATTATGGAGAGCATCGGCAAATCGGGGTCGTCGAGTGCGGACAAGCCATATCGCTGCCAGGTCAGTGGCTGTGACAAGGCCTACAAGAACCCGAATGGACTCAAGTACCACAACCAGCACGGACATTGCTCTGCTTCGGGGCTTGCGGATTCAGAGGGACCGGAATCGAAGCCGTACGTGTGCACGTTTATGGAGTGCGGGAAACGGTACAAGAACCTCAATGGCCTCAAGTATCATATCGAACACTCGCACCCGAACTTGACGGCCGCGCTGAGGGCCCATCAGGCGGGACTGACGAGCCATCCCTTGCTGGTCAGTGGTGTGTTTGCGAGTAATCAGGCGGCGGCGTTGGCGATTGCGACTGCGCTCTCGGCCGTGGAGTCCTCACCGATGATGATGGCGGCCATTAATGCCATCACGGCCTCAGCTGCCAATGCGAATAACACCAGCAATAGCAACAGCAGTAATATCCCAAACCGACTCTCGCCTCCTTCAGACCACACGCCCGACTCGAGTCCTGTCTCGAGTCCTGCGTTGCGACCGGCTGCACCTGCGATGCCACCAACGCCTATCGTGATCAACACCAACTTGACAGCGTATCGGGGTGACGGAAACGTGTTCTCGACGGACGTGACCCCGATGACTTCGCCGGTGCTCGGTCGGGCCACCCTCCCAGGACTGAGCACGTTGTCGATCCAAACGAAGGCGAGTCCGTTGACGGGCCTCGCGACCCCATCGTCGCTCTCGCCGACATCCTCGGCCGCACCAAAGTCGCCGACGGGTGTGTCGCAGGTATCGACGCTCACGGCTGCCCTGGCCGCCGTCACGGTGGAACAGCAGCGTCAGCACCAACAGCAGAGGCACCAGCACCAGCACCAGCAGTCGTGGCCCGTCATGTAACATCAGCACAAGGTCGATCGAGAGCCGGTCAGGCTAAAATTGTATAATTTCTTTTCTTTTTTTCCTTCCTTGTTGTATTTTCTTCATTTTCTCTCAGTTTTCTTTTATTTTCTTCATTTTCTTCCATTGTATTGTTCCTTTCTTTTTACTTCATATTGCATTTTTCTTTTTCTTTTTCATTTTTCATTTTTTTTATATCTCACCACAGCCCTCTCCTCTCTCTTTTTTTAAACATTTGGCGTTATCATATATAAATATATATATATTTTTTTCTTCATAGTTGTTCAATAGTTTAGAAGACTAGACTATTTCTTCTTTCATTATCCATAAAAATATTCTTATGATGAAATTAGTATGATAGCGGTCATAAAAGGTCATGGTGGTGGCATTAGAAACGTAAAAAGAAAAAAGAGAAAGAGAGAGAGAGAGAGGCAAAAGAATATCAGAAACTATACACAGATAAAAGGCATGAAAAGAAAAAAAAAAAAGCAAGAAAAAAAAAGCAAGAAAAAAGATTGCGAAGAAAAGAAAGAAAGAAAGTATGAAAGGGCGACAAAAAGGGCAAAGGATAAAAAAACGAAAAAAACGAAAAAAAGAAAAGACAGGATAATAACAATTCTCGAATCGAGTCAAGTACCCAAAATATCGATTTTAGACGCTGAAGGTAACAGTTGGCGGACTCCGTGCAGGGATCGGTTCTGAAGTCTGGAAGGTAACCGAGGGTAGACTGACCGGAGAAGTCGAGAAGGTGATCGGTTGAGATCCAGTCGCCATCGCCGTCGCCGTACTCGTATCCAGGTTCAACGCCCGTTTGAGCGGTTGTGATCCCACGGATTGCGCACTCGATCCCAACGCTGCTGACGATCCACCGGGCGAGACTACTGCCCCGGCATTGGTGTCCATATACGCGGTCCGGCCCAGGGCTCTAGGATCCGTCAGTAGCGCGTCGTCCAGGTCCGTCCCTTCCTTCTCCCGCTTGGCCTCCCTTGCTACCCGGGCACATTCCACATGGAGGGCGTCGATCCATTGCAGAAGCGTGTCCTCGTCGGATGCACAGCAGACGAAGCTGCGTTTGCTGGTAACGATGCGTAGACAGTACTGTTTGTGCTTTGATACGGGGTCCGTCTGCAGACTGTCGATGATCGTCGACAGCGGGATGATCCCGAGCGGTTGATATTCCTATTGTTTGTAGGAAAGAGTAGGAAGTAAAAACGAGTTTAGGAACTGCTTCAGTGCCATTGCCGTTTTCTTTCAATCCAGATAGGTTGTCGGGGTACCATCTTACCTTGGCGTTCTTGTAATACGTCAATTTGTCCCCCCTCAGGACGAACCACTTCTTTCGCCAGCGCTTATACTTGTTCCCCAGCTTCAGCAGATACCCTTGCCTCACAACCTTACTTTCTAACTGCTCGCCTGTCACTAGCCCCGATCCCGGCGCATTCGCCGCCGCCGCAACCCGTCCGGCCTCCAACACCGTCGGATCATCGATCACGTCCTCCTCCTCCGATGATACATTATGCTCTCCTCCACAGCATTGTTCCCCGCCGGATCCATATCCCGCCGCCGCTGGCGAATTCTGTGTCGGTGTTCCCGGCGACGTATTAAACGAGTGGTTCGACGAGAATGAGTTCGACACGAACTCTCCTCCTCCCCCTCCTCCTCCGTAGTTATTGTATCCATCCCGTGGCGACGGCGCCGATCCGATCCTGATGGCCTGTGTTCCAGACGTGACCAACGACAACCCATCCGCTGTCCGGTTCGATTGCAGATGTCGGTTCGATTCTGCTCCACTATGTGTCGCTGACGAGATCGCGGTCGGAGTCTGTCCCGTTGACTGATTCTGCATTACCAGTGACAATCCAGACATACCTCCTTGATGACCGGTGCTGTCTTCGTTGTTGTTGTTGTTGATATTACTATTATTATGATTATTATTATTGTTGCTGATGATGTTGTTGTTGGGGTGGTTGGAATTGTTGCTGTTGGCTATCCGCGTTGTTCCTGTGTGATCACCTCCGATATCATCCTCACCGACACTGCTTCCAAGCAAGAATCCCGGATCCGAAAGCGACATCGGGTTATGCTGACGACGGGGCAAACAAGTTCCCGAACCCTGCTTCACCAATTCATGCCTCCTTCCTGTTCCAGCTCCTGTTCCAGCTGTTGACGAAGACGGTGCAGAAGTCGAATGCGAATGTTCCGGATGCTTCATCGATCCCGATGCAGGATACAAATCCATGTCCGAGCTCGACGACGTGAGCTCATACTGAACTTTGGCCTGGTTGATGGCCTCGATCCACTCCTCCATTTCCGCCACACTCTCGGCCTGGACCGTGAACGTCCTGCGAGGGGTCAGGATCACAAAGACCCCCGTCCGGTTCTTGACCACGACTTCCGCAGCCTTGTGGATGTCCCGGATATCGATGATCCGAAGGAGGACGTATTCTTTACTGTCCTTGTAATAAGCGAGTTTCGAGGTCCTTAACACGAACCATTTCTTCTTCCAGATCTGTTGTAAAATTAAAAATGTGGGAGGGATAGTAAAGAAGAGGGGAAATAGTCAGTTAAGCAAGGTTCTTTCTCTCCCTCTTTCTCCTCCCCTCTCTCTCTCTTACACACACACACGCACACATTTGCATATACACACGCATGCATACACACAGAACGGTTAAAAATAATTCAAGTTCGGAAACTGTGGTGGAAATTACATCTCCTTACAAAAAAAGACATAATTTCGTCGTATTTCATTTACATCATCAGATCATGTACATACAAAGAGGCCATGGCTCTCAATCTGAAAAAGATAAAGAAGAGCGTCTACGCTGTTCTCCTTCTCTCATACACTTTTTTTTTCCAATAGTTTTTTTTTTTTTTCTTTTTCTTCTTGTATTTGCACAATGCTCACCCGAGCCAACACTAGTAATCAACCATATTACAAAAAAAAAAAAAAAAAAAAAAGTAAAAATAATACTTTGCAGAGAGCAACAATAAAAATCTCGACTGTTTTTTACCCATGGCATTAAGTCTAAACACTCTTCATGCGTTCATTTGTCCAACTGTGTGCGCCATGCTCTTTCACACGAGCCAAAAAAAAAAAAAAAAAAAAAAAAAAAAAACTATAGCAACAACAACAACAACAAGAAGAACAACAACAACGGAAACCAAGCAAAAGCAAGTGATCGAAAAAAAAAAGAGCAACGGATGTAGCCCTCCCTAGCGCGTATCCGCATTTCATAATACTATAGCACAGGCACAAGATGGTCCAGAAACAGGGCATTCCTCCTCCCCTCCCCCCCCCTTAGGGCATATCGGCAATATGCAGAGCCTTCTTTCATTCATTTTCCCGCCCATTCATGTATATATATAAAAACAAAACTAAAAAACGTTGCATATATGTCATACCTTAATACGCTCGCCCTTTTTATAAAGGTATCCCGCCTTCAGGACCTGGCCCTCGTGCAGGGTCTCATGGGAAGGGCCCAGGTGCAGTTCCGCGTCCATGTCAGAGTCATACTGCTCATCCGAGAAGGTCACCCCTGGAGAGACAGCGCCTGCCTGCAGGTGCTGATGCTGTTGCTGATACTGAAGTTGGTTTGGAGAAGCTGGGTATGATTGCGATGGTCCTCCTGTTGCGGCTGCAGCGGTGATGACTGCTAGCGGTGCTGGTACTGGTACCGGTGCTGATACAGAAGTTTGATACGTGTTCTGCTGGTTCTGGTTCTGGTTCTGGTTTTGGTATTGGTTTTGGTGTTGGTTCGAGTGGTGCTGAGAAGTGATATCCTGTGATTTGTCCATGGGTACGGATAGGTCCCTCCCATTCGCGGGGATCTCCTGGACCTCTGCTGACGTCGCGGGCATGTTGTCAAGCTAATAAAAGTAGAAGGAGGGAAAAAAAAGACAAAAGACAAAAAGATAAAGACAGATTCAAAAGACAAGACAAAGACAAAAAAAAAAAAGAGAGACAAAAGAAAAAGAAGTGTTAGTAGGCCACAGAATATATGTCCATGGCGACGACGACGGAGGATAGTGCACGATGCTCCTGCATCATAGAACACGGAAAAATGACACTCAGAAGGCTGTGTCATTCTGAGGAGAGAGAATTGCAACTGTGGACGTTGCCTTTGTCTCTTGCCACGTCAAAGAAGGGCGAGACGACAGCCTTTTTGTTCTTATGACGACAAAAAGAAAAAAAAAATGCGGTGGGCGGTGAAGTGGTCATGGTGGGGGGTCAGTCAGCTGCACTTCATTCCTGGAGGCGCAAAGCAGAGTTCATTGCTGCGCTTGGTTGACAACGTCGTTTTTTTTCTTCCATGCTCGCCTTTGGTCTTCTTCAATGGGTATGTTTGTCCTGTTGGTATCGGGTTCCCGTTTCTTCGTTGCGGCCATTGAACATAGCACGGAGGGAGGTCGTCTTGTTACCTGCGAGAGAGAGCAGTCCAATGTGTGGGGGTCAAAGAAACGAACAAAAGAAGGCGTGTGTGTATGGGTGTGTGTTGGCACTCCTCGACAGATTGCGCAACAACGATGAAGGAGAGATTTAGAGAGAGGGAATGTGATGGAGAGCGCAGAGATTGTGAAAGTGGATGTGATGGAGAAGGAGGTTGTGAGTGTTTATAAAAAGAGAAGAGAAGACGGTCGAGGTGTGAAAAGTGTGAGCATGCGTGCTAATTAGCTTGCACATACGGGAAGGAGCGCGCTGGGCTTAGTGTAGTTTAAACTCTCCCCCCCTTGGAATGCACGCTCTCACCCTCTGGCCTTCTTTTTTTTCAGTTCATTTGCATCGTCATACATACACTAAACATAGCAATATAGACCCTGGAACTGTCAACTGACGCCAAGGACATCTTTATTAGTTCACCAGAGGCCAAAGAAAGAGTACCCGTAGCTCGACCCGGGCGCTTTCTGTCCACGATGCAATTTATAGCACTCTAACACATGCTTCCCCGCCGTCGTCTGTCTCAGCTCCTCACAAAACTCTCTCGCCTCTGGTCCCAATTGCTCCACCGGCGGCACCCAGGCCCCAAGCCCATCCTCCTGTGTCACCCCCACAGCCAACCCCGCCAGACTCGCAAACGTCAAATCCGCGGCCGACAGCTGGTTCCCGACCAAGTATGCCGGTCCAGGTGGGCCCGACTCGAGTACGCGCGAGACATGCTCAAACTCGCGTCTCAGAATATCCTTCGACCTCGCCGCGGATTTTTCATTGATGCGTATGGCCTTGCACAGGGCCCATGAGATTAGTGGGAAGAACAGGGTCCAGACCCATTTCTGGAGGGCACCTGCGTTGCCGTGCTGTCCCAACCCGCGACCGACCGAGCTGGGGGCTCTACACAGGATCTCGTAGTACATGTATCGGCGGATGTGTGGGCCAATCATGGCGTCGAACCGTTCCTCGAGTGCGAGGATTTTTTCCTTGGTCGCTTCATCGTCCGAGTAGAGATTTGCAGGTCCCGACAATGGGCCGTTGCTATTCGCGGGTGCGGCGTATTGGTCAGACAGGAACTGGAGGATCTGGGTCGAGTCGTTGATGATGATCTTTTCATCGCTGGAGGCATCCGCAGAAGTTGGGGTTCCCATGAGGAAGGGCGTGACGAAGGGGCTGCTTCCGGGAGCTGGACGGACCTTGGCGCGGTAGTTGTACATGGAGATTATGTGACAGAGGGGTAGGGATCGGTACTCAACGTAGGGAACCCCATAGTAATCCAAGGCCCAGCGTGCCTTTTCGTTGTAGTGAGAAAAGGAGATGGATCGAAGACTGAAACTGAGCCTGTCCTTGCCTTGGACCTGGTCCTTAGTGGTGTTCTCGTTGTTGGCCATGAGCGAATGAATGAGGATGGGAAAGGGGATGAGAGAAGAGGATGTTGATGAGAAAGCGGATATGTGCCCCAATACCCCAACGCAGACTCTGCCCCCGCTCCGTACATGTACTCGGCGCTCACTCTCGCACTCTCGCCGATCGATCGCTTTTAAAGTTAATACTTTTTCACATTGCAGTGGGAGTCATATATACCATACGGCTGATAAAAAAAAAAGTCTGTGAAAGCGCCCTGGGCTCATTGGTATTCCCACACTCTTCATTCTTCCTTCCCTCTACTCCACCACTTCAACATGCCTCCAGTCCGCATCGTATCCTTGGAGCAGGTTGCCTCCATCCTCAATGGCATCGACCTCGAAGAGATCCTCACCAGCCAGGGAAAGGCCTTCCATTCCTACAGGTAAAATCTAATCTTATCATATCTCACCCTCGATCTGGAATCTGCACTCTGCTGCCTTCGCCAAAGATCTGAACACATCCACGCTCCTCCTCCTTAGCATCAATGAGACTCAAACCCCACAACGACCAACTCTCCAGACACCCTACCACTCCACCCTGATCATGCCCGCCCGCATCGATTCTCTCACCTCTGTCGTCAAGCTCGTCTCCGTTCCCAAACAAGACTCCAACAACGGTCTTCCCGGCGTCACCATCGTCCTCGACAACCTCACGGGTGAGCCCCGTGGTCTTGTCAATGCCCGGCTCCTCACCGCCATCCGCACCGCCGCCTCATCCGCCCTCGCCACCCGTGCTGTCTTCCAGGTCAAGGAAAACAAAGACGAAAGCTTGACACTCGTCCTCTTCGGATCAGGCGCCCAGGCAAAGGCACATATTCAACTCCTCACACATGTCCTGCCCAGGATCCGGAATGTCCTCATCTGTAACAGGACGCTTCCTCGCGCACAGGAGCTGCTTGCGGAACTCCAGCCTCAGTACCAGAATCTGACGATGGTCGCCTACAGTACCAGCACCGGTGAATCCACCTCCCCGATCCCTGGGATCTCATCTTCGGATCAGGACAAGGGCAAGGACAAGGACCAGCTCCTGAAGCAGATCGTTCAATCCGCAGACGTGATCTGCACATGCACAAACAGTCGCGCTCCCTTATTTCCCGGGGAATGGGTCCGACCGGGCACCCACATCAACATGGTCGGATCCTACACCCCCGAGATGCACGAAGTTGATCAAGCCCTTATGAAGCGTGCCCTGATCCTTGTCGATGCCCGTCAAGAATGTGAGAAGGAGGCCGGGGAACTGATCGTGGCCATGAAGGAGCGTGGCGAGAACGGGATCCTGGCCGAACTGGGACAGATCTTTGATGCGCACGGACAGTTTGACCAGACGGCGATGCCGACAGAATTCAAGACGGCTACTGCTGGGGCGAGTGGGAAGGACGTGACGATGTTTAAGAGTGTGGGAATTGCGGCGCAGGATGTGGCGATTACAGCCTTGGTTCTGGATCAGGCTGAAGCCCAGGATCTGGGGACCGTTGCTGAGATTTGAAAGCCATACGACGGAAAGTATTGAGATAGATATAATCACCCTTCTCCACATGTGCGCCACAAGTAACACTCGCATTCGAGGTGTTAGTCGATCCTGCAACGAAAAAAAAAAAAAAGCTGTTTTATTTCTATGACACTATGTACATAGTTCTCAATGTTTAATAGAATTCTCTCTCCTACTTCTCGTCTCTCTCTCTCTCTTTTCTTTATGCTCTTTCTCTATGATAGTTCTGGACGAACAAGTTATGGTTCTTGGGTGTATTTCTCGTATTGATAAGATAATACTCACTTGCCCAGGTCCCTTTATCCCGAATAGACCAAGTTCAAGTTACTCTTTACTCTCTTTAAAAAAGCTCTGAGAACCTCATGAAAGCCCTCCCGCACATGAGGACCCCATCTGTGGTTGTGAGAGCGGCATTCAACTCGCCGAAATGTGTTCAAAAATTCGAGGGGCTCGGATCTGTCGACATCGACCTTGAGGACGTCAATCCAGTCCGTGGAAGTTCTCGTCCGTGGAAGTTCTCGTCCATGGGCGAGCGGAGGACGGGAGGTTCGCATTGAGTGCCATGTTCGTCCATCTTATCTTGGCTCCTAATGAAATACAGCTTGAAGTGCACATTTGACCGGTTTTGACACTACAAAAAAAAAAAGGTGTATGTGCCAAGTCGACTTGCCGGTATCCGGGGGATCCAAGATATTGCTATGTGTTAATGTGCCGTTCGCATTCCCAGCTATAAGACACAGCGGTTACACATGTATATCTGACGATGATGGGGTAACAATCGCTAGTGCTAGTCGCAAATATGCTCGTTTCAGACGGCATGTCCAGGAGACGCTTGATGGTGTGGACGATATGTACACCGAGGTAAATGCTGCAGGTGAGCGCACTGTTGATCGTGTATCTAGTGTCGGTACAAGTGGCATTGATGGCGGCCATAGCCAGAGTGATGGAGAAGGTCAGAACAGTACTGTCGATGACGGTTGCCTAGATCCAGAGCGTATGTGCGTAGAGAATAAAGCAGCGCACAGTCCTAGCTAGTATTTACACTCCATGATTGTCCATAACCCTAGACTTCATCCCTTCCTGCCTTGCTCTGTGCTCATTTAGTTCAATTCTTTGTTATAAGCTGCCATTTTGTATTTTTGAGGTTTGTCAATGACAAGAGACTTGTATGCTTGTACGTCTATTTTCTTCAGGAGGCGCATCCATGCACCAGCAGAAGGCTTGTAAAGAGTAAGAGTCAAGCCTCCACTATCAATTTCCTAGCCATATCACCTTCGCCTATGCAACCGGCTTTACTGACTTTCTGCCCGAGGGATCAGCCGCAGGGAGGGTACTCGACATGCCGCGGTTTGGCTGCATCCCAAGCTGAGATACCACAGTTGACATGGTGATCAGCTTCTCATTAGCCCCTCGGAAGTTCAAAGGCGGGACTGGGTCACCCACAGCGCCACGCTGCTGCAACAGCTTCGAATTTACCCTGTTCAAGCCCTGTGCTTCATGGATAATTATACCCGACACGACAAGTCCACCATGGTTCGAACTCCAATGCAGGCGTACGCGATAGTCATCATCCCCTCCTATTAACTGCCACATGCGAACAGACTTATCGCCACAGCCGGTTGCGAAATAGGTGCCATCGGGAGCCGTGCTCCATGTGATGCTGGAGATGTATCCATGAAAACCATCAACAACCACCAAACATTGGCCGGATTTCACATCCCACAGCCGCACCGTGTTGTCCCAACTGCCCGAGGCAATCTGCCGGCCGCTTTGTGAATATGCCACGCAAATAACCCCATAGGTGTGGTCACTTAACACTGCACCAGATGCACCGGTTTGTGTATTCCACAGCCGCACGGTACTGTCAATACTGCCCGAGGCAATCTGCTGGTCGCTTGGTGAATACGCCACGCAAAAAACACTCCCAGTATGGCCGCTTAATACTGCACCAGATGCACCGGTTTGCGTATTCCACAGCCGCACCGTCTTGTCATCACTGCCCGAAGCAATCTGCTGGCCGCTTGGTGAATACGCCACGCAAGAAACCCAGTCGATATGACCGCTTAACATAGCACCAGGTGCACCGGTGTGCGCGTCCCACAGTCGCACCGTTTTGTCTTCACTGCCCGAGGCAATCTGCTGGCCGCTTGGTGAATACGCCACGCTTGTAATCCCCTCGGTATGGCCGGTTAACACTGCCCCAGGTGCACCGGTGTGCGTACCCCACAGCCGCACCGTCTTGTCGTCACTGCCCGAGGCAATCTGCTGGCCGCTTGGTGAATACGCCACGCTTGTAACCCTATTGGTATGGCCGGTTAACACTGCCTCAGGTGCACCGGCGTGCGTATCCCACAGCTGCACCGTCTTGTCATCACTGCCCGAGGCAATCTGCTGGCCGCTTGGGGAGTACGCCACACTTGTAACCTCGTCTTTATGGCCGCTTAAAACTGAACCAGATGCACCGATTTGCGTATCCCACAGCCGCACCGTCTTGTCCCCGCTGCCCGAGGCAATCTGCTGGCCACTTGGCGAATACGCCACGCTTGTAACATAGTGTTCATGGCCGCTTAACACTGCACCAGGTGCACCGGTTTGCGCATCCCACACCCGCACCGTGTTGTCCTCACTGCCCGAGGCAATCTGCTGGCCGCTTGGTGAATACGCCACGCTTGTAATCCCCTCGGTATGGCCGCTTAACACTGCCTCAGGTGCACCGGTGTGCGTACCCCACAGCCGCACCGTCTTGTCGTCACTTCCCGAGGCAATCTGCTGGCCACTTGGCGAATACGCCACGCTTGTAACATAGTGTTCATGGCCGCTTAACACTGCACCAGGTGCACCGGTTTGCGCATCCCACACCCGCACCGTCATATCCCAACTGCCCGAGGCAATCTGTTGGTCGCTTGGTGAATACGCCACGCTTGTAACACCGCAGGTATGGCCACTCAACACTGCACCAGGTGCGCCGGTTTGCATATCCCACAGCCGCACCGTGCAGTCAACACTGCCTGAGGCAATCTGCTGGCCACTTGGCGAATACGCCACGCTTGTAATCCAGTCGGTATGGCCGCTTAACGCTGCACCAGGTGCACCGGTTTGCGTATCCCACAGCCGCACCGTGTTGTCCCAACTGCCCGAGGCGATCTGCTGGCCGCTTGGCGAATACGCTACGCAAAGGACCTTGTCAGTATGGCCGCTTAACGTGAAGGTTTTCGACCAGGTCGTGGTGTCATACACACTGATCGTACCGTTGTGAAGACCCACGACACAGTTCCTTCCATCAGGTGAATACGCACAGGAATACGTCTCGCTATCTTCCGCAAGGTACGCTCTTTCGCCAAACTGCACGCCTACCATCCGCGCCTTGCTCAGATTGGCTTGCCGCAGCCAGACATTGCGAAGGTTGGCCTTTCTCAGATCCGCCCCTTGCAACTGTGCAGAATCAAACTCTCCACCACTCAGATCCGCCCCTGGGATTCGGATGCCTTGCAGGTCTGCGCCGTTGAACCGTATCCCGGCTCTGACCAGTATCGTCATCGCATTCGCTGCAGCATTGCGTCCTTCTTTGTCCGTTTTCGAGCGCTCAACCATTGTGAGTAGTTGTTGCTTGAAGATGGGTTCTTGTTGGACTCGTTCCGCTAGAAACTGCAGCACCGACGGCTCGTCCACAAAACTTCTCCATGATAGTGGCTGACTGACAACAGATTGCCGAGCGCCAGCAGAGTCTTCCTCTGGCGCTGCTCGCCATTCGAAGCTCAACATGGAGCTGACACTTCCTCGACGGACCGGAGCAAAAGATGATCGCGAAGCCTTGTTCTCCTGTGGGTCAAATACTGCGAGCGCAAAGCAGTACTCCAGGAGGGATCTATGGATGAACCGGTACTGGTTACCACTCCGGCTCAAAGGACATGCTTCGCGCAGGAGCTGTGCCTCATCACCTCGGCTGAAGAAATCCGCCTTCCATGACCCTTCGTCTCTGGCGCGCGAGTACTCCACCACAGGATGGCCTGCCTGCTTCTCGTAAATGGCTGATGCCAGTCTCTTCAGAAAGCTAATGCCGTTCAGCGTAAAGCCCTCATCCACCAGGGTGTCAAACGCCGCCTTCGCTTGTGGGCTCAGATCATTGCCTCCCACCCGTTTCTTGCCACGCTCCAGCCATTGCTCCACGAAATGGTCATACAGCGCTACACGTGTGATCCTGGTTCTGGAGAGATCCTGCATCTGTCCTGCATCCACCACTCGCGGCAGTACCTCCAACGACAGTGTCAGAAGAAACGGGTTCTTCACCAGCTCCTGCAGGTTGGGGACCTGCTTAAGTGCCTCCAGGTACTGCTTGGTCCTCCACAGCGGCCTGTTCTGGTGTACATACTGCCTGATGTAGTCTTCGATCTGCTCTGGAGAGAATGGGACAATGACTGCCTCTTGGAAGAGGTTGAGTATGGCCTTGTGGTTCTGGTCCATCGGCTGGAAGCGGTCTCTGTCGTTCTGACCAAGATACTCGCTACGGCAGCTGATCAGCATCTTGGCGCGCCACTCCCCTGGCTCATTCAGCTGGTTGCTTGCATACAGGTTGTGTGTCTGCTGGCTTTCATCGTATCCATCGCAGATCAGGATCAACTCACGGTGCTGCTTGATCTCTCGGATCTGGGGCTCTGTAAAGTCGTTCCTGCGCAAGTGCTTGGCGATCATGTCCTGGTGCGGCTTGTCGATTGCAGGCAGGTTGATGTGGAGTGGAATTGGGCCTTTCTCTTTCTCGTAGCTGTCCCACAAGTCGCACTCGAGTGTCCTGTTGAAGGTCGACTTGCCCGCACCAGAATCACCCAGTAGCAGGAGCACCTTGCGATCACTGTTCAGGAACTCGTGCACTTTCTCCGTCAGTGGGAACAGTGCATCGTTGGACGCTTGTAAGCTGGCCTTGGCTTGAGGAGGGATGTAGACGGCCTTGCCGCGCTCTGCTAGCCGCCGCTCCTTCAGCCTTCGCAGGTCATCTTCGACATCTGGGATATCCTGGACACGGTCGAGTAGCGACGAAGACGCCAACTGTGGCAAGCCGACCTTCAGTGGATATGGACTTGGAGGTGCAATGATGCAAGCGCGATACAGCGCTTGTTTCTCTGGATCGCCGTCCTTTTCCAGACCTAGTAGCAGGATATGGGCGTGTTTCTTTACTGTGCTGCCTTGTATGTCGGCGTTGTTGTTCATATCAGCTAGCTGGATGAGGATCGTGAGGATCCATTGCTTGACGCTAGCTTGCTGACCCCAGTCCAGATCGTTTACATACAACTCTCCTAGTAGATCGACAGCACTTTGACGGGTGCTAACTTCCCAGAGCGGACCGGCGGCGATCTCTCCAAGCCGTTGGCATACACCCCATTCGAACAACGGATCGCGCCGGCATGGTGCCCCACAGACCAGGTCCTTGAAGTCTGCAAGTCGGCCGTCTCGAATCAAGGCATCTGTGCAGCGCAATGCCGGGTACCATGCACGCTTCCGACTGAAGCTGAGACCCTCCTTGAGACTGTCTACAAATCCCTGTCCACCCTCGACCAGCGAGCTCACACCTTCGTACCCGAGCATGACAACCTTGTACACCTCTCCCAGTCCTTCTTGCAGATGGCCCAGTCCATCGATAAAGCCACTCACATCCAGGCCCTTGACCGCACTCACTAGCCCTGAGATGCCATTCACCACCACTTGTGTGCGCCGCATCACTGCTTGTAGGGGTGTCTCATCATCTGGGACATACTGCAGGGCCTGGTAAGCATAGGCAGCCTGGTACACCAAGTAGGAATCAGAGCTGTTCTTCATCTCCTCCAGATAGGCTGACAGTGGCGCATGCAGCTGCTCGCGGCTCAATCCCTTGACATCACTGTCTGCCATCGCATCCAGCACGCGGGAGACTGCCATGGCCAGCTGACAACGATGCTTGGTCGATTGATGGTGGGTGTTCTGCAACCGCGCGCTAAGGACCTCCAAGATCTTGACCAGATCGTCAACAAGGAGGTAGCCTGGGGAAGCGCTCTGTATCAGCTGAGCCAGACCTTCGAGCAGATTGAAGTCCAGCAGGACCGATTGTGCAATTCCATCGATGAGGTTGCTGAGCAGCTTGCGATATCGCTCTTCGTCGAGCATAGGCGCGAGGCACACCACTTCAGCGACCGTGGCGGCATCCTTGAGGTCGTCATCGATGAATTCCGCAATCACTCTTGTCACCAGCGAGCACAGCCGATCTTTTTCGTCTGCATCCTTGGCTTTGGCCTGCGTCCAGTCGCGCTGAGATTTCTCAAGCGGTTCATCGGATTCTGCAGCATATGTTAATGACGACGACGCTGAGGCCTTGGACAGCAATCCGAGGCAGTAGACGAGTTGAGGAGTGGTGGTGATGCGCCCATCCGGTCCCGGTAGATCATGTTTGGCTGCAGGTCTTGCCACGTTCTCAGGAAAGATTTCTGGAGAGACCTGAGCGACATCGCTATGGCTCGACCTGCCCTTTGCCTCTGGATGGGGTAGTTTGAGCGCGGCTGTTGATGTACCGCGGAGGTTGAGTGCACAGCGGATGGAGGTGAAGATCCCGCCAGGCCGAGAGCGGATAGGGTTCCCGTTGGGGTCCAGGACATACCGCCACTTCTCCGCCTGTCTGAAGCTGGCCTGTGCCTTGCCGCGGTGACCCAAGCCGTCTAGCAGCTTGCCTTGGTCGGAATAAGCAGTGCTGATCCCATTGCACAGGGCCTGATCCTCGGCGCTCATAGGAGGGGTGAGAGCCCTTCTGTTTGCTTTTTTCATCTCTGCTAACGCAGCCTCCGCATTGGCGCACAAGGCCAAAATGAGATATGGGTCGTCTGCTTTTCGTGCATTTTCCAGATGAGCGTTGGCGAGGTATAGGGCCCTTTGTGGCGAGAGAGCGCTTCGTGAGGACGAAAACGTACTGCTGAACATATCGGTCTGTGAGTCTTCTATGGTTGTGTATCAAACAGAAGCGAGATGAGAACTCTGTCATCAATCAGTAGAAGCGTGAGAACTACCAGTATACACACTTACACTTGACGGACACGTCTCCCGCGCAGTGGGATGCAATTGAGTGTAAAAGGATGTAGTACCTGGGGAACCTGTGGGAACAGCAAACGCTTTCCTGTTCAAGATCGCTTCTTCTGCTCAAAACCGCTGCTCCTGTTCTCCTGTCCAAGTTCGTTGCCCTTCGTTGTCCTTTGTTTCCCCGAGTAGAGGTAGCTGTCGCCCACCAAGATTGATTATTAACCACTGCATATGTCGCATATCTCGTTATTCACATACGAAAGAAACAAGATGGTCTCTCACCTTGATATGGATACTCCTACTTCTTTGTTGCTCTGGGCAGCTGTGCAATGGTCTGGGTACGTTCCCCTCGTGTCTCCTAGCAATGGTGCTTATCGTCACACACTATGGGTTAATATTCGCTTCACATGCATCGTTGGTCCCCTCAGCTTCACAGACATTTGTCCTACCCCAGTCTGGCTCCTGTGTTCTTAGGCCGCCTATATGGTCACAGACAGGGTCGGCCTTTGCTGCCAACCGGACTACACTGTCACTAATGAGTCGTTCTCGGCCAGTGCTTTTTGGGTATAAGGGAATTAAAGGAGGCAACGGGGAGGTTGATGGACGGTTCAGATAGGTCCTGGTGGACTGAGTGAAGAATGTAGCTGGGGAGAAGACAAAGTGGAAGAGAGGACAAGACGAATACGAAGACGCAGAAATTGAACAACTCGTCGTTATTGTATTAGCTATATAAACCCATGCTTCGTAGCCACTTCGTCTCCTCACCCTTGTGTATGGTACAGTAGGTTGTCCCGAGGAAGCAAAAAGTTGATACTTCGACCTGTTGTGTAACCCGACCTGGAAATTGTGTGAACCACCACCGTATTGTAGGACCAACCCCTATTCCATTCCTATTCGCTCACCATTCCAGAAAACCGTTCCACTATATAGCTTTAGCACCCTCAAAGTATTGCTTCGCCATACAGTGCGCCAAGAAAGCCAGTCGTCATGGAAAAGAGAATGTTTACATAGTGCGAGGGCAAAGATGAAGGTGAGGGCAAAGACAAGGGCAAGGGTCGAGACTGTGGAGGGTCTGGGTTGTTTAAAGCTGAGCCCAACCAAAGACGCACATGGGCCTCCGCGCACCAGAGCAAGTCCAGGCATGGGCCTAGACTAATCGGCCAGACCCTTGGGAAAGTCCAAGTCACTACCGGGACAAGACACAGCTGTGCATCCTCTGCCTCTGATAGTGCGCTATGCTTCCGAACACACAAGTATACACTCATCAAGTGGGACCATTTATCTATAGGGCCATGGATCAATATTCCTTCCCCTGCTTCTGATATCTTTGTCAAAGACATGATTGTTGTTAAGCGCATCCAGTTGGCAGCGACTGCAGAGTCTTGCCACATGTGCCTTCTCAAGGCCTCCTGAGCCGTCTTTCGTCCGTGGAGTGACGTCTTTTGAGTCTTTGAGTGGTGCTCTTCTCTTGTCCTTCTCTTGTGGACCCCCTAGTGGAAATCTTGCCATCGGCTGTACACCGCTTGTCCATTGCTCAAGTCGTGGTTACTCATTGCCAGTCCGACTGTCACCTGCGCATCCAAACATAGTGATACGTTTGTCCTAGATTCCAGACATACCTTCTGAAAGGCATTGCCAGAACAGCATAATTGCAGGCTGCGTCGGAATCGATTGCTTTGTTGATGATGAGCACTGCTGCTATTGCCACCGTTGCTGTTGCCGCTGTTGCTGTCTCGATTGAACAGGAGTGACAAAAACAGCGCTATACTGGCAAAATAATGAATGTCTTTTGGCGACAATGAGCAGTGATGGGCAAGCATAATCTATGCGTGCATCACAGCGCGCACTCTCCGCTATTCGCCACTGTCTCTCGTGCAGTGGCAACAGCGTAGCATTCTTTTGCAGAATACCCTGACAATATCCTATTCAACTAGAAATAACAGGCTATTCCGTGACAACTGGAGGAACAACTGGGACTCAAACCAGCAGTTGCATGGTTGTCATTTCTACTCCTCTCACTTGTATTCTAGTTGATACTATCCACTATTGTGCTGTTCAGATTTCTAGTCATAAGATAGAGCAGCTACACATATCCATCTGATAACGGTAATGCAACAGTCGCTGGTGCTGGTTACGGATATACTCGTTTCAGACAACATGTCCAGGAGACGCTTGATGGTGTAGACGATATGTATGTCGAAGTAAAAATGCTGCAGGTGAGCGCGTCATTGGTGTGCATTTAATGTTGGTACAAGTGGCATTGATGGTGGCCATATCCAGGACGTCGGGACAGTACTGTCGATGATGATTGCCTAGATCCAGAGTGTATGTGTACAATAGGTTCAGGTCGGGGAGTGTGGTTGAATATATGTTTATTAGACAAAGACTGAGGTTCTATCAATTGGCAACCGTGCTCTTAAATAGTTGTGTCTGTGCGGGTACAGATCGCTAAATATACTATCTGGTGAACTGGGCTGGTGATATATAACTGGTCTTGTTCTAATTCAAACTCGTTGCAATGTGCGTAAAGGATAAAGCAGCGTGCAGTCCTAGCCAGCATTTATACGACCGTGGTTGCCCATAACCCTAGACGTCATCCTTTCCTGCCTCGCTCTGTGGTTTTTTAGCACAATAAGTGCTCAGTCCTTTGCTATAGCTGCAATTATTCTTTTGGGATTTGTCGGGCAAGAGAATTGGGTGTTTATTTTCTTCTGGAGGCGCGTCCATGCACCAGAAGTCTTGCAAAGGATAAGAGTCGAGCCGCCATTACCAACTTCCTAACCATATCACCTCCACCTATGCAACCGGCTTTACTGACTCTTTACCGGAGGGATCAGCCGCAGGGAGGGTATTCGACATGCCGCGGTTTGACTGCATCCCAAGCTGAGGTTCAACAGTTGACATGGTGATCAGCTTCTTGCTAGTTCCGCGGAAGCTCAAAGGAGGGACTGGGTCGCCCACAGCGCCATGCTGCTGCAACAGCTTCGCATTTACTATGCTCAGGCCTTGTGCTTCATGGATAATTAAACCCGACACGACAAGCCCACCATAGTTCGAACTCCAATGCAGGCGTACACGATAGTCGTTCCCTCCTTCTATTAGCTGCCACATGCAAACGGACTTATCACCACAGCCGGTTGCGAAATAGGTACCGTCGGGAGCCGTGATCCACGTGATGCTGGAGATGCATCCATGAACCCATTAACGACTACCAAACATTGGCCGGATTTCACATCCCACAGTCGCACCGTCTTGTCTTCACTACCCGAGGCAGTCTGCTGGCCGCTTGGCGAACACGCCACGCTTGTAACTTCGCTGGTATGGCCGGTTAACACTACACCAGATACACCGGTTTGCGTATCCCACAGCCGCACTGTCATATCCCGACTGCCCGAGGCGATCTGCTGGCCGCTTGGTGAATATGCCACGCTTGTAACCCCGTTGGTATGGCCGCTTAACGTGAGGGCTTTCGACCAGGTTGTGGTATCATACACACTGATCGTGCCGTTGTGAAGACCCACGGCACAGCTCCTTCCATCAAGTGAGTACGCACAGGAAACCGCCGTGCTAGTTTCTACGAGGTACGGCCGCTCGCCAAACTGTACGCCTGCCATCCGCGCCTTGCTCAGATCGGCTTCACGCAGCCAAGCATTGCGAAGGTTGGCCTTTCTCAGATCCGCCCCTTGCAACTGTGCAGAATCAAACTCTCCACCACTGAGATCCGCCCCTGGAATCTGGATACCTTGCAGATCTGCGCCGTTGAACCATATCCCGGCTCTGACCAGTATCGTCATCGCATTCGCTGCCACATTGCGTCCTTCTTTGTCCGTTTTCGAGCGCTCAACCATTGTGAGTAGTTGTTGCTTGAAGATGGGTTCTTGTTGGACTCGTTCCGCTAGAAACTGCAGCACCGACGGCTCGTCCACAAAACTTCTCCATGATAGTGGCTGACTGACAACAGATTGCCGAGCGCCAGCAGAGTCTTCCTCTGGCGCTGCTCGCCATTCGAAGCTCAACATGGAGCTGACACTTCCTCGACGGACCGGAGCAAAAGATGATCGCGAAGCCTTGTTCTCCTGTGGGTCAAATACTGCGAGCGCAAAGCAGTACTCCAGGAGGGATCTATGGATGAACCGGTACTGGTTACCACTCCGGCTCAAAGGACATGCTTCGCGCAGGAGCTGTGCCTCATCACCTCGGCTGAAGAAATCCGCCTTCCATGACCCTTCGTCTCTGGCGCGCGAGTACTCCACCACAGGATGGCCTGCCTGCTTCTCGTAAATGGCTGATGCCAGTCTCTTCAGAAAGCTAATGCCGTTCAGCGTAAAGCCCTCATCCACCAGGGTGTCAAACGCCGCCTTCGCTTGTGGGCTCAGATCATTGCCTCCCACCCGTTTCTTGCCACGCTCCAGCCATTGCTCCACGAAATGGTCATACAGCGCTACACGTGTGATCCTGGTTCTGGAGAGATCCTGCATCTGTCCTGCATCCACCACTCGCGGCAGTACCTCCAACGACAGTGTCAGAAGAAACGGGTTCTTCACCAGCTCCTGCAGGTTGGGGACCTGCTTAAGTGCCTCCAGGTACTGCTTGGTCCTCCACAGCGGCCTGTTCTGGTGTACATACTGCCTGATGTAGTCTTCGATCTGCTCTGGAGAGAATGGGACAATGACTGCCTCTTGGAAGAGGTTGAGTATGGCCTTGTGGTTCTGGTCCATCGGCTGGAAGCGGTCTCTGTCGTTCTGACCAAGATACTCGCTACGGCAGCTGATCAGCATCTTGGCGCGCCACTCCCCTGGCTCATTCAGCTGGTTGCTTGCATACAGGTTGTGTGTCTGCTGGCTTTCATCGTATCCATCGCAGATCAGGATCAACTCACGGTGCTGCTTGATCTCTCGGATCTGGGGCTCTGTAAAGTCGTTCCTGCGCAAGTGCTTGGCGATCATGTCCTGGTGCGGCTTGTCGATTGCAGGCAGGTTGATGTGGAGTGGAATTGGGCCTTTCTCTTTCTCGTAGCTGTCCCACAAGTCGCACTCGAGTGTCCTGTTGAAGGTCGACTTGCCCGCACCAGAATCACCCAGTAGCAGGAGCACCTTGCGATCACTGTTCAGGAACTCGTGCACTTTCTCCGTCAGTGGGAACAGTGCATCGTTGGACGCTTGTAAGCTGGCCTTGGCTTGAGGAGGGATGTAGACGGCCTTGCCGCGCTCTGCTAGCCGCCGCTCCTTCAGCCTTCGCAGGTCATCTTCGACATCTGGGATATCCTGGACACGGTCGAGTAGCGACGAAGACGCCAACTGTGGCAAGCCGACCTTCAGTGGATATGGACTTGGAGGTGCAATGATGCAAGCGCGATACAGCGCTTGTTTCTCTGGATCGCCGTCCTTTTCCAGACCTAGTAGCAGGATATGGGCGTGTTTCTTTACTGTGCTGCCTTGTATGTCGGCGTTGTTGTTCATATCAGCTAGCTGGATGAGGATCGTGAGGATCCATTGCTTGACGCTAGCTTGCTGACCCCAGTCCAGATCGTTTACATACAACTCTCCTAGTAGATCGACAGCACTTTGACGGGTGCTAACTTCCCAGAGCGGACCGGCGGCGATCTCTCCAAGCCGCTGGCATACACCCCATTCGAACAACGGATCGCGCCGGCATGGTGCCCCACAGACCAGGTCCTTGAAGTCTGCAAGTCGGCCGTCTCGAATCAAGGCATCTGTGCAGCGCAATGCCGGGTACCATGCACGCTTCCGACTGAAGCTGAGGCCTTCCTTGAAACTATCCACAAGTCCCTGTCCGCCCTCGATCAGCGAGCTCACGCCCTCGTATTCGAGCATGAAAACCTCGTACACCTCTCCCAGTCCTTCTTGCAGCTGGCCCAGTTCGCCGATAAAGCGACCCACATCTAGACCCTTGACCGCACTCACCAATCCTCCGATGCCACTCACCACCACTCTTGTGCGCCGTATCACTGCTTGTAGGGACGTCTCATCATCCGGGACATACTGTAGGGCCTGGTAGGCATAGGCAGCCTGGTACACCAAGTAGGAATCAGAGCTGTTCTTCATCTCTTCCAGATAGGCTGACAGTGGCGCATGCAGCTGCTCGCGGCTCAATCCCTTGACATCACTGTCTGCCATCGCATCCAGCACGCGGGAGACTGCCATGGCCAGCTGACAACGATGCTTGGTCGATTGATGGTGGGTGTTCTGCAACCGCGCGCTAAGGACCTCCAAGATCTTGACCAGATCGTCAACAAGGAGGTAGCCTGGGGAAGCGCTCTGTATCAGCTGAGCCAGACCTTCGAGCAGATTGAAGTCTAGCAGGGCTGATTGTGCAATTCCATCGATGAAGTTGCTGAGCAGCTTGCGATATTGCTCTTTGTCGAGCACAGGCGCTAGGCACACCACTTCAGCGACCGTGGCGGCATCCTTGAGGTCGTCGTCAATGAATGCCGCGAGCACTCTTGTCACCAGCGAATGTAGCCGATCTTTTTCGTCCGCATCCCTAGCTTTGGCTTGTATCCAGTCGCGCTGAACTTTGCCAAGCGACTCATCGGACTCTGCGGCATATGTCGATGACGACGATGCTGAGGCCTTGGACAGCAATCCGAGGCAGTAGGCGAGCTGAGGAGTGGTGGTGATGCGCCCATCCGGTCCCGGTAGATCATGTTTGGCTGCAGGTCTTGTCACGTTCTCAGGAAAGATTGCTGGAGAGACATGAGCGACATCGCTGCGGCTCGGCCTGCCCTTTGCGTCTATATAGGATCGTTCGGGCGCGGCTGCTGATGTACCGCGGAGGTTGAGTGCACGGCAGATAGAGGTGAAGATCCCAACGGGTCGAGAGCGGACAGGGTTCCCGTCCGGGTCCAGGACATACCGCCACTTCTCCGCCTGTCTGAAGCTGGCCTGTGCCTTGTCGAGATGGCCCAAGCTGTCTAGCAGCTTGCCTCTGTCAGAATAAGCAGTGCAGATTCCATTGCACAGGGCCTGATCCTCGGCGCTCATAGGAGGGATGAGAGCCCTTCTGTCTCATCTCTTCATCCGAGATAACGCAGCCTCCGCATTGGCGCACAAGGCCAAAATGAAATCGGGATCGTCTGCTTTTCGTGCATTTTCCAATTGAGTGTTGGCGAGGTTCAAGGCCATTTGCGGGGAAAGAGCGCTTCGTGAGGACGAAAACGTACTGCAGAACATATCGGTCTGAAGTCTTCTATCGTTGTGTATCAAGCAGAAGCGAGATGAGGACTCTGTCATCAATCAGTTGGAGTGTGAGAATAGCTAGTATACGCACTTACACTTGACGCAATTGAACGCAAGAGGCTGCAGCACCTGGGGGACCTGTGGAAACAGCAAACGCTTTACCTATTCAGGTTTGCTTCTTCTGCTCAAAATCGGTGCTCCTGTCCTCCCGTCCAAATTCGCTACCCTTCGTTTCTCCGAGTAGAGACGGCTCTGGCCAACCAAGGTGGACTGTTAACCGCTGCACATGTTGCATATCTCGTTGCCCACATACAAAAGAAACGAGATGGTCTCCTACCTTGATATGGATACTCCTGATTCTTCGTTTCTCCGGACAGTTGTGCAATGGTCCGGGTTCGTTCTCCCTTGTGTCTCCTAGCAGTAGTACTTATCGTCACACACTATGGGTTGATATTCGCTTCACATGCATCGCTATTCCCCCAGCTTCATAGACACTGGTCCTACCACAGTCTGGCCCCTGCGTTCTTAGTCCACCTATATGATCACAGGCAGGGTCGGCTTTTGCTGCCAACCGGACTGCACTATCACTAATGAGTCGTTGTCGACCAGTGCCTTTTGGAGTATAAAAGAATTAGGAAGAAAGGAAGGAGGCGACGGGGAAGTTGATAGACGGGTCAGACAGGTCCTGGTGGGTTGAGTAAAAGATGTAGCTGTGTAGCTGGGAAGAAGGCAAGATGAAAGAAAGAACAAGGCGAGTATGAAGACGCAGAAGCTGAACAACTCGTCGTTATTTTATTAGCTAAATATACCCATGCTTCGCAGCCACTTCGTCCCCTGGCCCTCATGCATGGCACAATGGGTCATCCCGCCAGATGCGAGGGAGCGAGGGACAGCAAAAAATTGATCTTTCGACCTGTTGTGTAACCTAGTCTGGAGGTTGTGTGAATCGCCACGGTATTGGACCAATCCTTATTCCATTCCTATTCCTTCTCCACTCCAGAAAACCGTTCCAGTATACAGCTTTAGCGCCTCCAAAGTATTACTTCGCCATACAGTACGCCAAGAAAGCCAGCTGTCATGGAAATACAATGCTTACATAGTGCAAGGGTAAAGATGGAGGCGAAGGTCGAGATTGTGGAGAGTCTGGACCTAGACAGTGCTACATAACGCTGTCATTAGCCTAATCGGCCAGACCTTTGGGGAAGTCCAAGGCACTACCAGGACAGGACATAGCTGTGCATCCTCTGTCTCTAATAGTGCGCTATGCTTTCAAACACACAAGTAAATGCTCATACTTATGAGGCCATGGATCGATATTCGTTCCCCTGCTGCTGATATCCTTGTCAAGGATGCAACTCTTGTTGAGCCATCCGACTGACAGTGGCAGCAGAGTCTTTCCACCTGTGCCTTCTCAAGGCTTCCTGAGCCGTCTTCCGTCCGTGGAGTGATGTCTTTTGAGTCTTTGAGCTGTGCTCTTGTCCCTGTTCCTGTGCATCTAAACAATCCCTCAAGTCATTCCTCGTCCTTCCCTCGTCCTTCTCTTGCGGAACCCCTGGTGGAGATCTTGCCACCGGTTGTACACCGCTGATCCATCGCTCAAGTCATGGTTACTCATTGCCGGTCCAACTGTCCCCCTGCGCGCCCAAACATAGTGGTCCGTTTGGCCTGTAACTATCCAGTTTCCAGACATACCTTCTGAAAGGCGTTATCAGACCATTATGGCTGCGGGCTGTGTCAAAATCGATTGCTTTGTTGATGATGCGCACTGCTACTGTTGCCGCTGTTGCTGTCTCTGCTATACAAGCTGGAGTCCTTGGTATAGCTGTGTTCTCCTAACAGGCACCGTCGCCAGCCAATCAATCGCGTCCGCGGCAAGTGTGATCTAACGCACGCACCACCTTCAACATTGCTGTGCAACTACCAATCGCTCTAATCATTTGCTTCATGATGGAGTATTCAAAAATAATGATTTTGCATGCCGTTCTAAATGCCATAGCGACCTTAATCGATTCACCACTGCTTGTAGAAACAAGTTCATTAATAGGAACATAATCTTTGTTTTATTATTTTATTATTGCTGTGGATGCTTCATGGGAGTGATGAGCCTCTAATTGCTAGAGAAGGCACCGACAGCCAAACACAGGTTCCGCTTCGTGAACTGCACCTTGTAGATCGGTGTGCGCTTGGTGGGGAATGTCGCCAGGTGGTCCTCCGATTCCATTGGTGCGACCACTGTATTCTTCTTATTCAGCCTATCGAGCGCAGAGGAATGGCTCTGCGAAACCGTAGGAGAGGAGACAACGGCCCCGCTAGACGCGCCATTCATGCCCTGTCCATCCCGGCCATCCTGCAAGATACGGTGCGAAGATCCTTGGCCAGGCGACGCTTCCTTCTTTACATCCCATGCTCTGACAGTGCAGTCAGCACTTCCAGAAACTAAGATGCTGCCATCCTGACTGAAGTCCAATGAATAGATAACGCCCTGATGACCGGTCATCTTTTTCATGCGTTTGCCCGAGCCAAGGTCCCACAGCTGAATTGAGCGATCATCTCCTGCTGAAGCCATCATACGACCATCTGGGGACATTGCAATTGCCTGAACAGCGCCAGCGTGACCAGTGAATACACGTACACATGTTCCTCTCTGAATATCCCAAAGTCTGGCAGTCTTATCGCTTGATCCTGTTACGACGTACTTTGAGTTTGGATGGAATTTGACAGTCTATAAGGTCGTGCATAGCAAACGATCTCGTTAACTCGATGAACCTTGGCACGCAGCTATATATTATCGCCGATATACGACAGTCGTTGAATAGTGTCCGTCTGCGATACATACATCAACATCCGACAAGTGTCCAGCAAAGATTCGCAGGGGGTAGATATGATCGCAGCTCCAGAGCCTTGCTGTTCGGTCGTGTGAAGCCGTGGCAAAATAGAAGCCTTGAGGTCCGAAATCAACGTCCCAGACCGGGTAGTTGTGTCCCTTATAGCAGACCAGATTCGTCAGAGTGTTGGTGCTCCACAGACGAGCTATGATTGAGAAGAATGTCGATAAGTCGTGAAGAACCAATTCAATGTTTTTAAGTATTCTTGCTCAAATATTCGACAGTCCAGTGATGTCACATACCCGTCTTATCCTCTGAGCAAGTGATAAGGTATTTGTTGTCTGGGCTAAAGCTGGCTCCAAAGACTGGTCCTGCATGTCCGATAAGTTTTTTGGATTCAGACCCATTCTTTTCTCGCACTCTGTTCAGATCATTAACTGTTTCGTATGGGATGAAGAGGGAGGGCGTGTGTGTGTGTGTGTGTGAGTGAAAGAAAGAAAAAGTTAGATTGCTGTAAATGCACCCATAAGCATGAGAAGAAATATTTGAAGGCTCGACACGCATCCCGCAAGAGATACATACAGTCATTGATGTGCGCTGGATTGAAATTACTCCTGAATCCTCGCAGTTTTTCGCCATTCAAACTCCAGAGCCTGACGTAAGATTCTGAGAACCCTGCTGCCATTAGTGTCGCATCCTCCGAAACCGCTACACAATTGATGTTCTCATGTGCATTGTGAAATGTATAAGCGCATATTGAGGGCAGGCTGGATGGACCCAATGCAACACGCTTTCGAGAGTCCCGAAGCGCTTCAATTTCTGCCTGGATATCGCTGCCCTTGCTTCATGATCCAATTCCAAATGAATAACGGCAAGGTTTGATTAATGAATAGGGGCGATGGGCTGGGTGCGAAAACAGCAGTGATAGCGATGGAGCCTTACAATGGTGGTAATGGTACATCGTCCCGCGATGGAGAGTCAACTCCCGCCTCTGTTTTCACTTTCTTGTATTCCTCCATTAGTGATGCTGGAGTATCGCCGTTCATAGTCTATCAATCACAAGTAGTGATCCTTGTTAGGCTCTTTTTGAGAAGTAATTTGGTCTCCATAGTTCCATGGTGTGGTTATTACCGCATCACCTCCCGCTTGCTGTGCTTCCTCTTCCTTCAAAGTTTGTTCGACCTGTTCCCGAAAGACGGCATCCGGAGGCATTTGTCCCAAAGTAACACTTTGCTGGTTAAATGCTGATAGTTGGTGTGTTCCATGTCCTGCAAGACCAATGACTTCGTCCTCGTTTGCGTTTGCGGCTCCGACTATAATTATCCATTGAATTGCCAAACACCGATAAACGCGTTAAAAACGTCGTTATTCTCTATTTGACCATGGCGCAATATAGGTACTCGCGCGTACGCTCACCTTGGATATCCAGATGCTGATTCACGATCCTAAGCAGGACGATGAACTTGTTGTCTTCCAAAAATGCGATGAGGAGCCCAAACGAGACTGGCGCCATGCGGAGATGATATTTGTTGGTTCTGTAAATTTGTGCCAACTCGTTTTCCTGAACGTGCTGCGTATCCGTAATGGTCGCCAGTCGGGCAATGTCCTGCGAATGCATCTCCAAGTGATCGGATCGAAAGGCCTCCATGAATGCCTTGGCTATATCATATTAACTAAACATTAGTGTTGAATCGTAGTCCAACATGCTTAGCATGGATCCATGCATCTGAAGTCGTACCTTGATCCTTGAATCCTCTGCTAACAAGGTTCAAGTAGCTGTGCACGAATAATGGAAACAATATCGATATGAGCTCTGGCTATGGAATGGTCCGTGCAAAGAGTGAAGGCATATGGAGTACGTTAGCTTCATAAATAATTTTATACAGATTCCTGCTTCATTTGGAAGAAAACGTCTTCGAGTATTCTCCATACACACCTTGTACAAGTCCAGCGAGTTCTCGACCCATCTCCGCAGGGATGAGTAGGCCAATTCGTATGCATCAGGGCTGGCCAATTCATCCTTGTCATGCTTCTTTGACGCAGCTGCATCCTTCTCCGCTGACGCGAATGAAGCCTCGAGTTCCTCGAGGGTCATTAAGTTCGCCTCGCGCTTGAGCGCTGTTTCTGCCTGCTTGTAGCCCTTTTGGTTGAGGTAGTTCAGCACGATCCTGTCCACTTCCTGTTGGGTCTGCGGCGTCTGTGATGGCGTTTGTTGCTGCTGCTGTGGTTGAGTAGCCGTAGCCGTCATCTGCGATGGGGGTCTGGCAGAGACCCCGGCTCCAGCGTTGGCTGTGCCATCGGCGGCAGGATCTGACATGGTACGAAGCGTGTGTTGGTTTCTGTCGCGTGTAGGGATCGAGCTGGGCCAAGGCAGACCAACTTGTTTTCTCGAACAAAAACCACGCTTAGCGACTGGCGCGCCAATCACATGACTATGTGACTATGAAGCCAAGTGTGCACCGCCCGGTACTGCGGCTGTCCTTATTCAAGTCATCTTTCGCTCGAATCGTACTTTCGACGTTTCCCATTGACCCTCAGTCTCAGTGTCAGCATCATTATAACTGCTAATACGATCAGTATCGAGTTTTGAGCGGATTTTTTTTTCTTTCTTTTGGTAGCACCACTTGCTTTTCACGCCACCGCCGTGGGATGGAATCGAAAAGGACCTACGTGAACGATGCCGCTAAAGAGTCCTCGTCTAGCGAAGGTGTCAAACCTACCGATCCAGAAGAGAGCACCGCTTTGACCTCAATTGACTGTACGAACGAAAATACCAAGGAGCATGGATCCATGGATGTGGATAACAATCAGGCATTGGACCGGGACGGCTTGGTGGCTGTAGGTGCTAACAAGGAATATCCTCAACAAGCAGCTCTGCATGCATCTTCAGAAGTTAGTTCTATAAAAGGTCGATTGGACGAAGCGATCTTAAAGAAGGCTGGGAGCGAAGATATCACTAAGCGTTCCGCAATTTCCATGGCAACAACGCTGTAATCGGAAAGGCAATCAAGAGCCTGAAAACATGCCTGGACAGGACCAGAATCAGAAGCAAGATAAACACGAGCAGGCTACTAACTCGTCCATCTCGAATTCTGCACCATTGTTCGACTTATTTCCAGCCTCCACGAGTGCTCAATATCAATCTCGGACAGCGAAATCTGGCGTAGCGCAAAATACAGCGTCCTCGTCTGAGCAGGAACATGACCAAGCGCTAGAGGGCTACTCCGGTGTAATAGATCGGTACCAAGAGCAACAACTACAAAAAAATCAGACACAACTTGCAATAACACCAGCTGCATTGCCCATTGGTTTACAATCCAATCAACATCCTTCCACGGAAGTGACACATGCTACGAACTCGACATCCGCTTTCCAGGGCAATCTTAGCTAAAGGAAAAGAAGACATATGGTGGCAGCGCACGAATCAAGATATCAAGTTGGTGGCGCACTCGCTCCAGTCTATCATAGAATCTCCTATAGTCGATGGATGTGTCTTTCCAGATATACGGCTACAGAGTTGAGTACTAGTCCTTATAGTTTGTTAAGTGGTCATGGCGAAAGCTGGGTTGATAGAAAACCGACGCCTGGCGAACATTGCTGGTATCGAGTCGTAAGTCGTTAAGCTTAAGAGGTGTGCGTGGAAAGATGACTTTTCTTCCAACAGAGTCGCCTCTCGCGCCTCGGACCTCGATAGCTCTCGGAACACACCTTCGAACAATGAGGGGCGTGCCACTACAAAGCCTACGGCCGGGACCCATGATGCGGCAATATCGTTACGGTATTGCGAACAAGTAAAACGTACCACGAAAATACAGTGGGGATGGGAACAGGAGGATCCTCATGGAGGGGCAAAGGACCTTCTTATACCTGCGCAGTTTCTGTACAATAGCTACAGTTCCAAGTATATAAAGTCAGCGGATTTGGTCCATAACATCTACTGCTTCACTTCTACTGCAAGACCCGTCCTAGCAACGGTGATCCATGTCCTGACTCTCTTTCTGGCTGCCACTGCAGTCGTTGCAAACAGAGAATCCACTGAATCAACGCGCAGAACACTCGACTGCCAAAGTCGTGTTGGCACTCTTGTTAGCGGGGACAGGGTGAGTACCGAGAACATCAACAACAACTCTCAGCACAAGCAGACTATCCACTTTCACGGCAACAGATATATACCGATCACTAAAACCTACAAAGAGATGACACCTGACGAATTTTTTGGTTGTGGAGACGCATCGAAGTGAGTGGATAGTAGCGGGTTACTCATGGGTGACAATGCGACGTTGATCCGCAACGTGAACGATAGCTCGCACGCAAGCAAGACGTACATACAGTTTGCATGGAAACCAGGATATTCGAATCTACAAGTATAAGTACAACTACAACTACAGCTACAACTACAACGATGGTGTCAAGGTGCAGGTTACTTGTCGACTGTCGGACGACACGAAAGGAATCGTGGATCAACTCGATCAATCGAGCAAGCGGACGGTATCTGAGATCGATGCTTTGGCTACGACCGCACACTCTTGCAGTTCGTGGACAGAGCAGACGAGAACGTCGAGAGAACTGAGGAGATTGGAAGAAGGAACCTGGTCAATATCCAGATCACGATATAGGACAGTAGAAGACAGTGGACAATAGTGGACAACAATGGACAGGCTATCGACAACGGAATCCTCACCGTGAAGAAGAGCGCTCCTTCTAATGTCCATCTCAGCAGGAATCAGCATGACAGGAATGATATTGATCGCAAGCGCAGCACCGGCACGAACATCAAGCACCGGCACGAACATCAAGCACAGCAGGAGTGCTCCATGTATCAGGCCCACAAGAGCCTCGAGGGCGCGAATCAGATCAAAGAGTTCTTTACAGCGCAGTGCAAATGAGCCAAGTCACATGTGAAATTCCTCGGGAAATATGGCTCGCTTTTTTGCCCGCGAAAAGCGGGATCGAATCGACAGTCGAACCGAGGCAGAAAATACCCCTGTGGATGAGAGTAGCTGGCACATAAAAGTCTAGAGGACATTAGGGTTCCGGAGGTCCGAGATCGTGTCGCCCACTAATCCACACGGGCACTCCGACCCATTTTTTTTTTTCCCTTTTATGAGCTTCGGAGGAAAAGGAACAGAAGGTTCCTTCGGCCTTAAAAACCACAGTAGTTGTTGGCAGTTTTCTTCTTCTTTTCTCTTCTTCTTCTTGTTCATCCACCCACACCCTTCGCATCCCTCCACACTCATCAACAATGGCCTCCACCCTCACCACATCCAACGGAAACCCCGTTGAGGACAACCAGAACTCCATCACTGCTGGTCAGTTTGGTCCCATGTAAGTGTCGGTCTCTTCTCATTCCCTTCCACCCTCTACTCCACAAAATACACACGCCACCATTTCTACGACCCAAGCAACATTTCCGAACCGAGCACATCCTCCAAAAGACCCTGAGAAAAAAATGTTTTCGCCATGCGTTGGATTGCTTGTCCTCTTCGGCCTTGTGCTCACAACCTCGCTGCAAAACAATGTCTCTTTACACTGTATTTTCTTCTTTCCCCACTTGGATCCTATGATATGTCTTGGCTTTGTCTGTACCCTTATCTATGCAAGGATCAATCATTGAGCTATATATTGATTCCAGAAAGTCCTAACGTGTATACCCTTACCACTGTTTCATAGTCTTCTCCAGGATTTCGCTCTCATCGACAAGCTGTCCCACTTTGACCGCGAGCGTATCCCCGAGCGTGTTGTCCACGCCAAGGGTGCTGGAGCCCACGGTTACTTCGAGGTCACCCACGACATCACCAAGTACACCAAGGCCAAGTTCTTGAACCGCGTCGGCAAGCGCACCCCTCTTTTCACCCGTTTCTCGACTGTCGGAGGCGAGAAGGGCTCTGCCGATACTGCCCGCGACCCCCGTGGTTTCGCCGTCAAGTTCTATACCGAGGAGGGTAACTGGGACATGGTCGGAAACAACACCCCTGTCTTCTTCATGTAAGTTTGGCTGTCGATCGCAACGTTTATCAATTGGATGGAATGGCGCAGGTTGGATCAATGCCATGGAGCAGGAAAACGCATGCGCAGGACTGGATTGAGCCCCGGCCCTGGCAACAAACAGATCGGACAACCGGATGGAATTTTTTCTTTGGTTCAAAGTGTATCCGGACCAGAAGCGGATGTGCCAGCCAGTTCGGCCTAGCAAGCTAGCAAATCACATGTCAACTCGATCTTCCTTTCTCGCCCCAGGCCCATGTGCAATCTGAAATCCAGGGTGCTCTTACTAAAGTGTATCTCGCATCTTTTTGCTGATCCTTCCTCCTTGTAGCCGTGACCCCATCAAGTTCCCTGACTTCATCCACACCCAGAAGCGCAACCCCCAGACCAACTGCGGTGATCCCGATGCCTTCTGGGACTTCATCTCCCTCGTCCCCGAGACCCTTCACCAGGTCACCATCCTCTTCTCCAACCGCGGAACTCCCGATGGCTACCGCCACATGCACGGCTTCTCTTCCCACACCTTGAAGCTCGTCAACGAGGCTGGTGAGACTCACTTCGTCAAGTGGCACTTCAAGTGCGACCAGGGCATCAAGAACTTCAAGGCTGCCGAGGCTGGCATCCTCGCCTCGACCGCACCTGACTATGCCACCGCTGATCTCTTCAACGCCATTGCCAAGGGCGACTTCCCCTCGTGGTCGGTCCACATCCAGGTCATGACCCCCAAGGAGGCCACGACCTACCGCTGGAACCCCTTCGATGTCACCAAAGTTTGGTCTCAGAAGGATTACCCCCTGATCCCAGTCGGAAAGATGGTTCTCAACCGCAACCCCGACAACTACTTTGCCGAGGTCGAGCAGGCTGCCTTCTCGCCCTCGCACATGGTCCCCGGTATCGAGGCCTCGACCGATCGTATGTTGCAGGGTCGTCTCTTCTCGTACCCCGATACCCACCGCCACCGTCTGGGCACCAACTATCAGCAGATCCCCATCAACGTCCCCTACAACGCCCGCATTGCTAACCAGCAGCGCGATGGTTTCATGGCCGTCAGCGGCAACGGTGGGGCTGCTCCCAACTATGAGCCCAACTCGTTCGGAGGCGCCAAGCAGACCTCCGTCAGCAGCACTTATTCGAGCTTTGAAATCAATGCCCTCGCTGCTCGTCACATCATCCAGCTGTCTGATGAGGACTTTGTCCAGCCCGGTGATTTGTACCGCTTGTTGAGCGCCGAGGAGAAGTCAGACTTGATTGATAACATGGCCGGTAACTTGAAGAACGCCAAGGCCTTCCTTCAGGAGCGCCAGGTCGGACACGTCAAGCGTGCTGACAAGGAATGGGGTGCCCGTCTCGAGGCCAAGCTTAAGGCTCTCCAGTCCAAGGCCTAAGTCTCTGTCGTGCTATCTTTTTACATATATCTTGTCTATATTGTTCTTTCTCCTTAGTCCCCTCGCCCGTTTCTCGTAAATAAAACCAAAAAATAAAATAAATAAGAAACACAGATATCTGTGTCCTTTAGATTCTAATATTTATATATATTTATGTGTATGTATTTATTGCAGTGAGAACGAGGCATTTGAAGGCAAGCGAGTGGGGTGAACTCAAAAAAAGGTTCCATCTTTCAGTGGATGCAGTCAGAGAGAAAGAGATGAAAGAAGAAAGGGAGAAGAGGGGAGAACTGGAAGAGATGGTTTGCCTGGTCTCACAGCACAGCACAGCTCAGAAACAGAAAAGGGGCGGTTGAAGATGACGATGGATTGCTGCGACAGTTTGGGTCAGGCCGGTGGGATGACGGACGATGACGATGACGATGATGGTATGCAGAGCCAGGGAGCCAATGCCATTGGGTATCCATGCGTGCATCTGTCCGGATGTCCGTCTGTTCGCTGTCCGTAGCATCATTTTTCCTAATATGCTAATGAACTATCGAACGAACTGCATCTGGCGCAGGCAATGCCGCCTTTGATGCAGCGGCCGACTCTTTTCCAAGGTTACCGCAGTCCGAGTCTGTCATTCCATATCCGTTGCTGTATGTAAAGGGTATCTGGCATTCCTATTTCACTTTGTGGGAGTGGTGGTGGTGGTGGCGGTGGCGTTGAGTGGAATGGTCTGAGCGAATACGGTCTATGGTGCGGGGAGAGGGTTCGGAGAGGATCATGATGCCAGCAGCGCCCCCACAAGGTTCCAGCAGAAATCCCCCGCCGCACCAGTGCAGAGGAAACCTTAAAATTTTTTTCCTCCAGATAAACACACTCTCGCACTCTCTCCATCCTTCTTTCGCTTTATTTCTTGATCCCCCTTTGGCATCAGCATCTTCACCATCTTTATCATCTTCGCCATCACCATCTTTCGTTTGCTTACCAGGCACCTTGAACCCACCCCCACTCGCATCCACACCCACACCCACACCCACTTCCCAGCCGGAATAGGATCGACTCAGCCTTGTCTCTTGATCACCTATTTCTTCTTCCTTCCTTCGAACACTCTCCTCACGCCCTCTGGTGCGGTTTTATGCCTCCCTTGATATCCAATGAAAAAATCTGATCCCTCTAGTAGTCGCTTTAATAACATACATCTCTCCACCTCCCGACGAGCCGCTGCTGGAGACCACTCCCACTTCCTTGTCGCCTTCCTCACCGAATTCTACTCGACCTCTTGCTTGGACGATCCCTAACTTGACTACAAGCGCACAAGCCAACCCCAATTGAACTCACTCTATTGTCGCTGCAAAGAAGAAAAAAAAAAAGACCGCTTTCCCACTCTCAACAGGTAAAGGCATCCAGCACTCCAAACCACACCCTTGCCCCTTTACCCTCATTGTCCCCGCACAGTCTGTCTGTTCTCCATGCTCTTGCGCCCTCGCTTTCTGTCCTTGGTCCTGGCTTGTGGACATATGCTTGGGTCCACAGTTCTGCTTGTGGTGCTTATGCAAACAAGGGCAGCTGAAGAACGCAGGCAGTACCGGCAAACAGGCATGCTGCAAAGCGATAGTGATGGTCTGTAACTAGGTGTAGTAGTAGTATTAACCTACTCTCTTTTTCTCTCTCTATCTCTCTGTCGCTCTCTTTCTCATCTTCTTCGTATCGTCTTTGACTTTCCCGTCTGCCTTTGGCCCATACAGCGCATAGAGCACTCTTTTATTTCATTTTATTTATAATTATTTTCTATCTTCTCATTTGATATCTCGCTCGATATACCGTATCCACTCTCTTCTCTCAACTCAAAAAACAAGCCCACTATTACAAAAAAACAGCACACCGAAACCTAAAAAAGATAACGATGAGCACCATTTCCTCGACCAACACCCACTCAGCTCACGCTCCCGTCAGCATGTTCCGCTCCGTCTCGACCGAGTCCTCGGGCTCGGGCATCAACCCCTCGACAGCCGCTCGCCTCCAGCGTCTGCCGACCCCCCCTCGCAGCCCTGGATTGGTTCCCCTGGGACGACAACTGACCTTGATCGAACCTCCGATGACGAAGGGAGTTCGGTTCCTGATCCTGGATTGTCCCACGGACTCGACACTGCCGTTCTATCTCGGAGAATTGAAGCGCAATAATGTCACGGATGTGGTGCGTTGCTGCGAGCCGACTTATAGAGCGGAGACGCTGCAGAGCGAGGGGATAACCGTACATGATTGGCCCTTCCGCGATGGTGCTGTGGTAAGTTTTCTTATCGTATCATGGTATAATTAGTATGTTTATTATTTGATTTGATTTTTTTTTGGGTCGCCTGCTGGATAAGGTTGCAGGAAGATACCATGTCAAGGACAGGGATAGGAAGACCGCGAGGAAGGCCAGGAGCAGGAGCAGGAGGAGGAGGAGGCGGCGACGGTGGGTGCAGGGAAAGAAAAATCAGGAGGGTGTAACGCGACAGCACACACAACACCAATGTCAACCACAGGAGCAGGAATAGAACTGTTGCAGTTACAGGGGAACAGGAATGTACAAAGACCAATAACAAAGAGCAGCACAGGGGAGGAAGGGAGAGAGGGGAGGACAATTGCCAAACCCAAAAGTGTTTTTTTTAGTTATTTTGTTGGGTGTGGCCGTGCACACACGGACGGGCTCGGACAGTAGTAATGAGCCATGACTCCTCGGGAGTATGGTCATGGATGGTCTTTCGTCATTCCGTTCATATGGGATATGTTGCTGTGTGCCCAAGGCAGGGCATACAACTCTGGGGATCGTCGGACATCAAGGACACATGGAAGTGTACAGGATTTACGAGACTCACAAGATATATGGGAAACACTGGATGGGATGGGATGCATATGGAAGATGGACAGATGGCAAGCAGAGGATTATTCAGGAGCACTGGGGATTTTGTTTTTTGCTGCAGCAGCGCGAAGCAGGTTTTGGAACTAGTGGCGCAGATGATTTGACGTGGACCTTGGAGTCGAAGCAACAGAGGACAGCTGAGACCATACACATTGTCCTAGACTACGGCGCTAACATTCCATGCCCTCTATGTTTTTTTTTTTTTATTTTATTTTATTATTTGTTAGCCCCCTACCAACATCATCAAGAACTGGCTTCAGCTGGTCGATGCCAGGATTGTCCGCCGTCGCAGCTCCTCCCCCTCGGCCAGCGAGGAGGACGAGGAGGCTCCGGCTCCCCCGACGATCGCGGTCCACTGCGTTGCGGGACTGGGTCGTGCGCCGATCTTGGTGGCGATTGCGATGATTGAATTGGGGATGGCGAACCTGGACACGGTCGAGTTTATCCGTCGTCGCCGTCGCGGATGCTTCAACAGCAACCAGATCCAGTACATTGATGGATACAAGCGTGGAAAGATTCTGAAGCATTCGCTCGGGACCGGGAACGGGAGTGGATCCGGAGGCGTTGGGGGTGGCTCTGGATCGGCTACAAGTGGACTGAAGAGCGGACTGAGCAAGATGTTCCGACTGAAGGCTTGACTCGACGTAGTTAGGGTATTGAAGGAGATCTATGAGGCGGAGGAAATCTTGATGGAACGCATGAAGAAGAAGACACTGAGAGGTGGAAGGAGATTGAAGGCGGTTTTAGCAAGAGGAGAAGAAGTAATAGGAGGAACGATGGTTCGGATGCAGACAGGACGACGACACGGAGGATGCCATGCAGATATGGTTGGAGGCGTGAAAAAACGGACGAGTACGACATCATGGCTTAGGCGAATAGAGACAGTAATCTGCGAACGAGATCGACATCCACATCCACTTCAATATCGACATCGACGGCGAGCTTTACGATGGTCTAAGAGCAGAGGCACTTCTGAGGCGATGGAGAAGGTTGCTGAGCAAAGGATGGTCGATCACGGTCGAGGAGTAGGCGCGTTTTTGTTGATGCACGCCTTTTATTAGATCAGCACTTTTTTTTATTTATTTTTATTACTTTTCACCTAGAATAAAATAAGCATGAGCATCCGAAAATACGAAGAAAAAAAAGAAAATGAAAAAGAAAAAAAAAATGATGGAGAAAGTGGTGAAAGAGGGGTGTGGAGGATGATGGTTCTGGTCTCTTTGGACGAGTGAGATTAAACCCGATGGCGTTATTATTGGAGTGGGAAGATCGAGGGAAGCAGAGCACGGAGAAATATGGGAACCAAGAAGCAAAGAGGCACTGGTGGCGTAACGCGTATGAAAAGGAGTGCGGAAGAAGAAAAAAAAAGAAAAAAGAAAAAAGGATAAGGATAAGGAAGACGTGCAGGAGAGAGAGCTGGAAGCTTTTTAATCCACAAAAGCTTCGGTGTTCGTTGTGGGTACCAAGAACAGGGTAAACGAAAAAAAGATATGAAGATACGAAAGATATGAATACAGTTACATCTCCTCCCCATCGCCACTTTTTCTGTGAAAAAAGGATTTTGGCGGAGTGGTGTGCTACATGCATAGAGTAGGAGTATACATACGCTTCATGTGTAGGACCGTGCCTTGGAGGGTGGTTAGAAGGTAGAAACGTCCGGATATTTGACTTCGAGATGGGGGGGGGGGCAACGAGATGGCGCCTTTTCGAGTGGTCCTCAACGCTCGATGTAAAGCGACGGGTACGTACTACACATCTTTTCGTGTTAACAAGGTTTGGATGGAAGCTGCATTGCGGGCGCTTTGCTTCCGAAAAACAAAAAAAAAAGAAACGGCCGTTTTTTTACACATGTTTGTTAGTGGTCTGCGCATGAAGGTCAAGCACAAAGAGTAGAAATAAAGGGGACTGTTGGACAACTGGACAGACGCCAACAGGAATAACAAATCTCTGCTTCTCTCTCTTATTTGTTTGCTTGTTTATTTCTTTGGGTTGTTTCTTTGGCAAAATCAAGGGAATGCATTCTCACACGAGTCGCTCTTCTCCTCCTCCTCGGGTTCCGCAGCAAAATCATACAACAGTCTTCTAGTCCAACAGCCTCTTGAGCTCGGCGCCCGTTTGTTGTTTTCTCTCAGATACGCTTTTAAGGTTCTAGATATAATGGCTAGCAAGACTGAGCGAAGTGTGTCGTAGCGTGGGGGGCGAGGCAGAAGAAGCGGGGTGGATGGATTGGACACCGATAATGCCATCCTTGGGCAGACATTCGTCATTTTTTTTTATTTATTTTCTTTGTCCTTCCTAGTCCGACCCAAGAGAGCGCAAAGTTGTTTGTGTATGTATCCTTTAAGCTTCTTTTGCGCGTGTGTACGTATCTACAAACGGGTATGCTTTGGTCCACAGGACCGATGCATCCTTGCCGTATTTGGCTGTTTGTATCGCCACTTTTTTGCATGGTCTAATGCATAGTAAGTTGGGCTGGCACCGGAACTAATAATCAGTTAATCTTTTTTTTGTTTTTTATCTGCAGATAGCTCGCCAGAATCTCTTGACGATCACTTTATCCTCCCTCCCCGGAGAAGTTCTTTATCTTCCCCCAAAGGCGTGTTATTCGTTTCTCCATGGAAATGAAGGTCAACCGAAACCATAGCTCGGTTCAAAAGCGCAGCTTAGATCAAATAGACTTTTTTTTTTTTTTTTTTTTTAGTGCGCATCGCACCATACGACTCCTTTTGTGGCAGGCCTTTAGCCCAACTGAAGACTGCAGCGACACGTCCTTTTGTGCAACGTTTTCTTGATGATACCACCCCTCGCCCTTTCCTGTCCTGTCCTATTATATCCTGTTCTGTCCTGTCACGCCGCACCGATCTGCACTTATAAAGCAAGACCCTCTCCTCTCCCTCTTTCGTCCTTTTTTTTACTCCTCTTCCTCCTCCTCCTCTTCCTTCTTTCCCCCCTCCATTCACCTCCCTTCCATCCATCCTTCCTTCCTCCGACTTTTTTTTTCTTTTTTTCTATTACTTCTTTACACTGGATGGGTGCTTAATATTTTATTAATATAATATATCACCCCTTCCATACACTACAACATGACGACTACTGCTGCATCAGCGCCTGTGCAGGATCAGAAGCTCGGAGATCTGAATGCCACGCAGATCCATGAAGACTATCCATACCAAGACTTGCCCCACTTTACTGTACGTTGCAAATCGCCTACTCCCAACACATCGCGCATACATTCTCAAAAACTGCAAGAACACAGCTGAGAATAATAAACTTAACCCTGTTGTTGCTCTTTTATATTAATAACCTCTTTGACGGTTCTTAGTGGCGTGCCGTGACTGTTGGCATCCTCATTGGAACACTACTCTGTTTCACGAACATGTACTTTGGTCTCCAGACCGGTTGGATCTCAATGATGTCCCTCCAATCCTCCCTCCTTGGATTCGCGCTCTTCAAGGCCGCGAAGCGCTACCTCAAGGTGCCCTTCGGTCCTGCCGAAAACATCGTCCTCCAATCCGTAGCCGTCGCAACGGGTACCATGCCCCTCGCTGCCGGATTCGTCGGTATTATTCCCGCACTCCAGATGATGACCCTCGCAGATAACCCGGCGACGGACACTTCAGCCGGAGGAGGGCTCTTTCTTTCGGCGGGGCATATGATCCTATGGAGTCTGGCGATTGCGTTCTTTGGAGTGTTTATTGCGGTGCCATTGAGGAGGCAGGTTGTGATCAAGGAGAAATTGCCGTTTCCATCGGGTACGGCTACGGCTCAGATGATTGGGGTGTTGCATAATACGCCATTGGTCGTCAGGGGACCCGTCACGAGGGTGGCCTTGAATGATACAGAGACCTCGGGGAATCTGGAGAGCGCAGGGATCCGGAGGCGGAGAGCCGTGGTGGAGAAGGTTGATAGAGATGGCGATGTAGAAGAGGCCTTTGGGGATGTAAAGCATGGTCGTGTTGCATCCAGTGTCAGCACTCCGTTGGATGAGATTCCTCCACAACAAGGATTGGGACAAGTGGCGCCGGTTGATTACATCTCGAGGGAGGATGAGATCGAGATCAAAGGCGAGAATGGCGAACACTTCACGTTGAGCAAGGATTTTCTGCAGGAGGATAACTGGAGACTGAACATGATTGCGCTCGGATTGGCGTTTGGAGCGTCGGCGATCTATACGATCTTGTCGTACTTCTTCCCGGTCGTCGCGGCGATCCCGATCTTTGACTGGCTCTCGGGAATGACGGTCTCAGTTGCGGGAACTTGGCAGTGGTACCTGACTCCGTCGCTCAGTTATGTCGGTCAGGGTGTTATCATGGGATTCCCTACGACGGCGTCGATGTTGTTGGGGTGCATTGTTGGCTGGGCTATTCTGTCGCCCGTGGTGACGACCAAGAAATGGGTTACTGGACCGGTGGGCAGCTCGACAACGGGTGCACGTGGATGGATTCTATGGATCTCGCTTGGAGTGATGATCGCTGAAGCCGTGATCTCGTTGTTGGGTGTCATTGTGCTTTCGTTGATCGCGCACTACCGTCGCAGGACACGCGAGCGCCGTCGTGCGGAGCGTAAGGCCGCGCTTGAAGCATCGGCGGCTCAGACGGGTGCCGAGGTTGATGCGTTCAGTGAGTTGGAGGAAGATGTCGAGGATGAGGATGCACCGATCGATCAGCTTGTGCCGCTCAAGGTCTGGGTTTGTGGGTTGATCCTCTCGTCTGCGTTATGTCTGCTTTTGATCTGGGTCGTTTTCAAGGACCAGCACATGCCTGTCTACGCAACCTTGTTGGCGGTCGTACTCGGATGTATTCTGTCAGTGCTGGGAGTGCGCGCCCTGGGATCCACAGATCTGAACCCCGTCAGTGGAATCGGCAAAGTGTCACAGTTTGTATTTGCGGGTGTGGTGCCCGGAGGAATCGTCGCCAACTTAATCGCCGGAGGCATCGCAGAAGCTGGAGCACAGCAGGCAGGCGATTTGATGCAGGATCTCAAGACCGGACATCTACTGGGTGCATCGCCAAGGGCACAGTTCTATGGACAGTTGATCGGATCGATTGCATCGGTATTCATCTCGACGGGTGTGTTCAAGCTGTACTCGAGCGCGTACGAGCTGCCGGGCCCACAGTTCGCAGTGCCGACGGCCAAGGTCTGGTTGGATCTCGCGAGACTGGTAAACGGACACTCGTTGCCGTACAACACCTCTCCCTTCATCTGGGGGTTCGCTGCCTTCTTTGCGGTGCTGACACTGATCTCTGTGATCTTCTCGGACGTGGCCTTCTTGCGGTCGAGGAGCAGGAATGGTTCAGTGCGCGGTCGACCACGGTGGGTGGGGTGGATCCCTTCGGGGATTGCGTTTGCGATCGGGATGTATAACCTGCCGAATTTTACGCTAGCGCGATTTGCAGGCGGAGTGGTATCATTGTGGTGGGATTGGCATTGTAGAAAATATGCGAGCCATCCGACAGCGAGATTTGCAAAGCTTGGAAGGGTATTCTTGATTATTGTCGCGTCGGGATTCGTGTTGGGAGAGGGCACGTTTTCGATTTTGAATTTGATCCTGAAGACGGCAGGTGTGCATTCGACGTCGTGTGTTGGATGTTACCAGGGCGCGTGCAGCTGCAACTGAAGGACGAATGAACGGATAAACGGACGTGTTGCAGTTCTTTTTGGGTGTCTATGGGTGGCACTGGCACCCCAGTTATATTTATACTTTGATACTATAATTTCAACCAAGCAAAGTAATATTAATAAAAAAAGATGTACTAATGTCTTTATATATTTTTTTTCTTCAGTTGGATGTCGGAATTGCTTCGCCCAATCCTGATTCCGAGGCACCTACTGCATGCCGATCCTCTGCGGCCCAGGTGCGCGCGTCTTATAAAGAGATGTTGACTGGTCGGCCATCCTTGGAGTAATGCCCTTGGGAACTCCGCTACTAAGTAGTATGCAAAATAAGGATGTTAAACCACGCGTTGTCCAAAAAATATTTTGTTAAAAAACCTGTAAGGCGCGTCTGCATACTCTTTATGATTGTATGTTAGCCTTATCTGCAAAGCGTTGTCTATCAATCATTCAACTCTGGTATGGTCATCTACCTATGCGATGGCGGTGCGTTATTCGTCATGTTTGTCTACAAGGCTACAACAACGTGTAGCATATCTCCTTCCTGTACATACCATCGTCATTTGTATGTGCTTGCACATACGGATGAAATTTAGAGTTAATGGCCATCCCTGTTCATATTAAAAAAAAGTTTCTTGGCATTTGGAGCAGACTCATGAACCCGCATCCCCGGTACTGATTCCCTTCCGATTTTACTATAGCAAATTCCGGCTAGCAAAGCTAATGGAAATTGTAGGTCACCACGAAATCGTGTATTTAGAAAATGTACATCTGTGTCTTTCCCCGGTAGTGCCTTGGACTTTCTCAAGGGTCCGATTAGTGACAGCGTTATGTAATGCCGTCTAGGCCCGTGCCTGACCTCGCTCTGGTGCGTAGACACAGAGTGGCATTCCTAAGGCCCATGCGCATCTTTGGCTGGACTCAGCTCTGAATAACTCAGACCCTCCATAGCCTCGATCTTCGCCTTCATCTTTACCCTTGCACTATGTAAGCATTCTCTTCTCCATGACGACCAGCTTCCTTGGCGTAATGTATGGCGAAGCAATACTCTAGAGGCGCTAAAGCTATATACTGGAACGGTTTTCTGGAGTGGAGAAGGAAAAGTAATGGGATAGGGATTAGTCCCACAATACCGTAGTGATCTACACAATCTTCAGACTGGGTTACACAACAGGTCGAAAGCTCAACATTTGGCTGTCCCTCGCTCTATGCATGAGGGCCAGGGGACGAAGTGGCAGCGAAGCATGGGGATATATTTAGCTAATACAATAACGACGAGTTGCTCAACTTCTACGTCGTCATACTCGCCTTGTCCTTTCTTTCATATTCCCTTATTCCCAGCTACATCCTTCACTCAATCCACCAGGACCTGTCTGAACCGTCTATCAACCTCCCCATCACCTCCCTCCTTTCTCCTTAATTCCTTGTACCCCAAAAAGCACCGGTCGACAACGACTCATTAACAACAGTGCAGTCCGGTTAGCAGCAGAAGCCGACCTTGTCTGTGATCACATAGGCAAGCTAAGAACACAGGAGCCAGACTGTGGTAAGACCAATGTATATGAAGCTGAGGGGGCCAACGATGCGTGTGAAGCGAATATTAACCCATAGTGTGACGATAAGCACCATTGCTAGAAGATACGAGGCGAAACAAACTCGGACCATTGCACAGCTGTCCAGAGAAACGAAGAAGCAAAAGTATCCGTACCAAGGTGAGAGATCATCTCGTTTCTTCTGTATGTGAATAAGAAGATATGCAACATGTGCAGCGGCTAACAGTCCATCTCGCTTGGCGATAGCCGTCTCTACTCGGAGAAACGAAGGGCAACGAACTTGGACAGGAGAACAGGAGCAGCGAACTTGAGCAGAAGAAGCGATCTTGAATAGGAAAAGCGTTTGCTGTCCCCACAGGTTTACCAGGCATTACAGCCTCTTGTGCTCAATTGCGTTCAATTGCGTGAGAGCCGTGTGCGTCAAGTGTAAATGTGTATGCTGGCTGCTCTCACGTTCCATTGATGGATGACAAAGTCCTCATCTCGCTTCTGTTTGATAAATAACGATAGAAGGCTTACAAACCAATATGTTCTGCAGTACGTCTTCGTCCTCACGAAGCGCTCTCTCGCCACAAAGAGCACTGGATTTCGCCAACATTTACCTGGAAAATGCACGGAAATCGGACGATCCCGATTTCATTTTGGCCTTGTGCGCCAATGCGGAGGCTGCGTTATCTCGAATAAAGAGAACAGACAAAAGGGCTCTCATCCCTCCTATGAGCGCCGAGGATCAGGCCCTGTGCAATGGGATCAGCGCTGCTTATTCTGACCGAGGCAAGCTGCTAGACAGCTTGGGTCATCGCGACAAGGCACAGGCCAGCTTCAGACAGGCGGAGAAGTGGCGGTGTATACTGGGTCCCGACGGAATGCCTGTTCGCTCTCGGTCTGGCGGGATCTTCACTTCAATCCGCTGTGCACTCAACCTTCGCGGTACATCATCAACTGCACCCGACCAATCCTGTCCAGAGGAGAAGAGCAGGCCGAGTCCCAGCGGTGTCGCTTATGTTCCTCCAGCAATCTTTCCTGAGAACGTGGCAGGACCTGTGGCCAAACATGATCTACCAGGACCAGATGGGCGCATCACCACCACTCCTCAGCTCGTCTTTTGCCTCGGATTGCTGTCCAAGGCCCCAGCATCATCGTCAACATTTATCACAGAATTCGATGAATCGCTTGACAAAGCTCAGCACGACTGGATACAAGCCAAAGCTAGGGATGCGGACGAAAAAGATCGGCTACATTCGCTGGTGACAAGACTGATCGCGGCATTCATTGACGACGATCTCAAGGATGCCGCCACGGTCGCTGAAGTGGTGTGCCTAGCACCTGTGCTCGACAAAGAGCGCTATCGCAAGCTGCTCAGCAACCTCATCGATGGAATTGCACAATCGGTCCTGCTGGACTTCAATCTGCTCGAAGGTCTGGCGCAGCTGATACAGAGCGCTTCTCCAGGCTACCTCCTTGCCGATGACCTGGTCAAAATCTTGGGTGTCCTTAGCACACGGTTACAGGACACCCGCCGTCAATCGACCAAGCATCGTTGTCAGCTGGCCATGGCGGTCTCCCGTGTGTTAGATGCAATGGCGGACAGTGATGTCAAGGGTTTGAGCCGCGAGCAGCTGCATGCGCCACTGGCAGCCTATCTGGAAGAGATGAAGAACAGCTCTGATCCTTACTTGGTATATCAGGCTGCCTATGCCTACCAGGCTCTGCAGTATGGCCCTGATGATGAGACGCCCCTGCAAGCAGTGATGCGGCGCACACGAGTGGCGGTGAATGGCATCTCAGGGCTAACGAGCGCGGTCAAGGGGTTAGATGTGAGCGGCTTTATCGATGGACTGAGCCAGCTGCAGGAAGGACTGGGGGAGGTGTGCCAGGTTGTCATGCTCGGGTACGAAGGAGTGAGCTCGCTGGCCGAGGGTGGACAAGGGTTTGTGGACAGTCTCAAGGAGGGTCTCAGCTTCAGCCGGAAACGTGCATAGTAACCAGCATTGCGCTGCGCTGACGCCTTGATTCGAGACGGCCGACTCGCAGACTTCAAGGACCTGGTCTGTGGGGCACCATGCCGACGTGATCCATTGTTCCAATGTGGTGTGTGTCAGCGGCTTGGAGAGATTGTCGCCGGTCCGCTCTGGGAAGTCAGCACCCGCCAAAGTGCTGTCGATCTACTAAGCGAGCTGTATGTGAACGATCTGGACTGGAGTCAGCAAGCCAGCGTCAAGCAACGGATCCTCACGATCCTCATCCAACTAGCCGATATGCACAGCAACGCCGACATACAAGGCAGCATAATAAGGCAACATGCCCGCACCCTGCTGCTAGGTCTGGAAAAGGACGGCGATCCAGAGAAACAGGCACTGTATCGTGTTTGCATCAGCGCATCTCCGAGTCCATATCCACTGAAGGTCGGCTTGCCACAACTGGTGTCGCCATCGCTGCTCAATCATGTCCAAGACATCCCAGATGTCGAGGATGGCCTTCGCAGGCTGAAGGAGTGGCGGCTGGCAGAGCGCGGCAATACCGTTTACATCTCTCCTCGAGCCAAGGCTAGCTTACAAGCGTCTGACGATGCACTGTTCTCACTGACAAAGAATGTGCACGAGTTCCTGAACAGTGATCGCAAGGTGCTTCTGCTGTTGGGTGATTCCGGCGCGGGAAAGTCGACCTTCAATCGGGAACTCGAGTGCGACTTGTGGGACAAATACAAGAAAAAAAAAGGCCCAATCCCACTCTACATCAACCTGCCTGCAATCAACAGATCGTACTAGGACATGATCGCCAAGCACTTGCGCAGGAATGACTTTACAGAACCCCAGATCCGAGAAATCAAGCAACGCCGTAAGTTGATCCTGATCTGCGATGGATATGATGAGAGCCAACAGACACACAACTTGTATGTAAGTAACCAGTTGAATGAGCCAGGAGAGTGGCGCGCCAAGATGCTGATCAGCTGCCGTAGCGAGTACCTTGGTCAGAACGACAGAGATCGCTTCCAGCCGATGGGCCGGAACAACAAGGCCATACTCAACCTCTTCCAAGAGGCAGTCATTGTCCCGTTCTCTCCAGAGCAGGTCGAAGACTACATCAGGCAGTATGTACACCAGAACAGGCCGCTGTGGAGGACCAAGCAGTACCTGGAGGCGCTTAAGCAGGTCCCCAACCTGCAGGAGCTGGTGAAGAACCCGTTTCTTCTGACACTGTCGTTGGAGGTGCTGCCACGGGTGGCGGATGCAGGACATATGCAGGATCTCTCCAGAACCAGGGTCACTCGTGTAGCGCTATATGACCAGTTCGTGGAGCAATGGCTGGAGCGTGGCAAGAAACGGGTGGGGGGCAATGATCTGAGTCCACAAGCGAAGGCGGCGCTTGACGCCCTGGTAGACGAGGGCTTTACTCTGAACGGCATCAGGTTTCTGAAGAGAGCAGCAGCGGCCATCTACAAGGAACAGGCAGGCCATCCGGTGGTGGAGTACTCGCGCGCCAGAGACGAACGAACATGGAAGGCGGCATTCTTCAACCGAGAAGACGAGTCTCAGCTTCTGCGCGAAGCCTGTCCTCTGAGCC